AATTGTCGTTATCTTTCTCTTCTCAACGCTGCATGGACCGACTTTGGACACGAACCAATAGAATGAACATTACCGATGTTATTGGGCTCACTCACTAAGCCCATGGGTTTTGAATTCCAGCTCAAAAGAAAACTACAAAAATAAAAAGTAAAAAGTGTTCCCAAATCACACATAAAATGAAAAAGCGCGTACTTTCTAGCTGTTATTGATCACGAAATTGCGGCGTTCACATTAATAAGAACAAAAATAGTAAGTATGAATTAATGAGAATTGGTGCTTAGCTAATGTTTGTTAATGTTGCTGTGACAGAGATTTGATTTATCTACTATGGTATCCGATATCCACATCACTCATAATATTATTAGGTGTAGGCCAATTTTCAAAATCCAAACTCCAAGCGGTTGGTCTAGCTTTTAATAAAATTTTCTCCCTTCATTAATTTTCTAGTTTCGATCCTTGGAGTCATTTTTTATATTTGTGACTTATTTTAAAATATTAAATTTGTAAGATATTCAATAGATCCGAAAATTAGTAGAGGTACGCACAAACTAGCCTAAACACCCCAGTTATTAGAAGCTCTCATTGAAGAACAACGGCAAGATAGATGGTTTAGTAAAATTTAAAAATTCATAAGGTAAAACTTGTAATATACAGTTTTACATAGCTGAACTTGAGAAATAAATAGTAAGTAATCAAAGAGAAAAGGTAAGGTTGATAGTATTGTTTGTTTAAAGAAATTGGCGCTCATTCAAACCCTAAAACTAATTCGTCAAAGATCCCATAATGATAATAATGGTTAAAACAATAAGGGTCTCCACCTATCAAGATAAGTAAAAGTAACTTCACTTAATTAACCCATAAAGCAAACCTCTTTCTTCTTTCATCTTTGATTATTTTGTTGTATGTTATCATAATTATAAAGAAAATCAAACTCTCTTTCTCGTTAAGGTATCATGACTTCAAGTTCAATTAATTTGTCTAGTTAGCAACATATTAAAGTGGTGGGATATTATGCCTTTTTCTTGTGTCCTTCCACCTTTTTTCTTTCACTTTTTTTTTTTTGTGTCAACTTTCGAAACTTTTAAAGGCAAAGTCAAGCTGTTTCTCATTTTTAAACAAATATTTGATTAGTGGAATTAATTATTGATTTATGCTTTATACTTAACCAATTACGTAAATTTAAACTCTACATATAACTACTTCAAATATACCATAAAACAAAATAAACTATAAATCGTAAAGGGCCTTTGTATAACCACCCCGGGCTGGTTTTTTTGGTTGTTCTAAGGTTGTGGTTGGGTCTGTAAATTGTGTAAATTCTGACTTCTTTGCTCTTTTTCTTAAGTGTCATCCCTTTCTTATTTAAGGTCGTGCTCTTTCGGGTTCGTTAGGCTTAGGTTATAATTTTTTCTATATATAATTATCAACTATAAAAAAAAATATATATATAAATTAAATATTCTTCACTTCATAATTTATTAGATGTAAGCCATTACTCACATCATAATCACAAACCCACCTAATCAAGCTTATAATTATAAAGGAATTAGATCCATACCTTATTCTATAATTTTGGATTATTTATATAAATTAAAATTCGTTGATTAACAATATTAAACATTCTCATATTCCAACCTAAAGGCCAAAGTAAAATTACTCTAATCATAACTAAGTTGTCTTGTTGTGCTGTAAATATTGGCATTACTAAAACAAACAGATTTAAAAAAAAAAAAAAATTCCCTCTTCTGGTAATGAAAAGGTGAAACTTCCAAAAATTAACAATCTTAATTCGGATCTAATTATAATTATGCGTTTGTACTTCATTTCAATTCCGTAATTAACATATTGTGTCATTTTCTATATTGCTGTTAGTTGGTAAACCATTTTTTTTTTTTTTTACATTATATGGAGAGCTTCATTATCAGATATAAATCTCAAGTGCTATATATTTGTAATTTGTTTATACACTGACGAGGGTTGTAAATCACTCGTGTTTGAGGCTGGGACCAACAGGGTCTGTTAAATTGGAAAGCAAACTAGGGTTTATAACAATAATCCCTTGAGATATCATCAAATTACAAAATCCCCCTGTGATTGTAGTAATAATAAAAATCTTCTTGACATTTAGTTTTTGGTCTTAAAATAGACAACAAAAATAAATTATGGTAAAATATTATTAACCTATCATGTTATAAGTTCTAACAGTACACTAACGGGTCACTAATGGTGGGTGATTTATGTTATTTTTGAAATATCATAGGAAAAATCTATTTGGTTAAACCTCAAGGGGGTTGAAAAACTTCTTTTAGTGCTTTTGAGCTGGGCTTGGCAAAAATCAGGGTCCGGGTAGACCCATGTGGGTTTAGACGTGGACTCGGAAATTCACTCGGAAATAACTCTTGATACGGATCCGAGTAATACTCGTATGGGTCCCAAGTCTATCTAATCCCGAATTTTATACCCATATTTGAAAAATAATAATATATTTTTTTTTAAATTACTGGGTAAGTTTGATGCCCGGGTTCCTAACATATCCGGCCGGATAATAATCTCGGATCCAGAGCTTTTTGAGCTTTTGAGTGATGGAATACTTGGGAGGAAAGCATATGAAAAGTCCTGTGTTGGTCAAGGCATTAATTTAAAGTAAAAACATTATTTGATTTGGTGGTAAAGGGCTATTAGTTGTTGAGGGATATTAGCCAAACGACAAGTTTAGAAGATTAGACAGATAACATGCTTTTTCTGTTGCTTTTTTGTATTATATACATTACTGTTATATATTTGGTTTCTAATCTATCACTATTTTTATTTTTTGGTAAATATTTTAAAACAATTATTTTAGGGATATTAGCCCAAGAGAAGTTTTTAAATTTCTAGTAGAGTTAACGACTTTTTTCCATTTAAATAATGGTTTAATGATATTTTCTCATCTATAGTTTTTAAAATACTACGTTATTACTCAAATTTATATTCTGATGACAAACAAAGAGTAAACTTAGTCTAGACTGTTAATACTTTTGAAGAGGGGAGGCTGATGAGTCTTTTGGTGGTAAAATGTTATATTTGGTGGTTGAGATTGATTAGAATTTGACTTTAGAGGGGCGGCTGTGCAAACCTAATCGCTCGATTGTTGGTGATTGATAAGGTCAACGATAGTAAGGTTTAAGAGGTTTTGGTAAGTGATGATCGGAAAAAAGAATGATAGTGGTGTGGGGTCACAATAATGTCAGAATCGGAAATGAAATATAAATTTTGATAATAAAATGATATTTTAAAAGTATGTGGATAAAAAAATATCATTAAACCATTATTTGGATGGGAAAAAGCTGTTTACTCATTTCTAGTAGATGAAATGTCAAGATCTAGGCATAATAGACTGATAATGGGGGAGTTTTAGTATTCGTCTCTTTGAAAATCCCAAATGTAGTTGAGGTATTACTCTATTTTAAAAAAGAAATACTAGAGGTACAAAGGCTCTTACAAAGAGCCTTTGTACAAAGTGAGGTGACATATTCTACACCACTAGTTTCACATCAATCTTCTATTTCTTTTCATAAACTAGTGATGTAGCAGTTACCACATTACTTTATACAAAGATTATTTATAAAAATTTTTATACATCTAGCATTTCTCATTTTTAAAATGTTTATGATGGTGTAAAATATATTGCCAAAGACGCTATAAAGTGTACACTAAAACAATTCGTGCCATTTTGCCTGACTCATGATACAACATAATTTAAGCGCCAGACAACTTAGCATAAAGTAATATTTTACAAAAAATTATTTATAAGACAATATTTTGAAATTGTTTACATTTACATGTTGATTATAATTAATATGGTTGCCCAGAAAAAGGCCTATCATGTGGCCCCCTTCCTCTTCTTCTTCTTCTTCTTCATCTATTGATGAAGCTACAGGTTTTGTGGGCTTTTTTTATGGTCTCAATAACACAAAGTTTTCTTCTTAGATATTCTTGTATGTAGGGCCACCACCAGCAGGTACATCAAAAGAAAAGAGCCCCAAAAGGGTATCCAAGCTTTGAAGGAAAATAATTAAGTTGGGATTAAGGTTGTTTTATTATTAATTAAAGTTTTAATTAATATTAAAAATTTTGTTCAGGTATTCAACAATCACTTTTACTTTTAACTTAATTTACTCTTAAAGCTTATACAAAACTTGTTAATTAAGGTTATATAGTCTCCATCAAATTGTACACCAAATGGAAAGTAAATATTTGTAAGGCCGTATAACATTATGACCCCCAATGTATTGTGAAAGAACATTTCCCCTCTTGATTTGAAAAATACCCAATGTTACCGTCATTTCTTGAATTCACGTTAAACTTAACTGTAAAAGGGCAATTTTGTCAATTTATCTAGCATACATAACATTATACAATTACAAACTAACTATTTATTCTTCTAATAATATTATATATATAATATTTTCTCATACAACTTGATGTGATAAAATATGATTGACTGATTTTAAATTTAAAAAAAAAAATTCATCCAATCATCTTTTGTCATATCAAGTTGTATGAAAAATATTGTATAAAAATATATGTATAGCATTACTCTAAGGAAAATAAAGGTAAAACTAAAATTATAGTGGTCAAAGGTGAACAAATAGAAAATGAGAGGGATGGAGACAAACTTTGGGGGTACAATGGATATTTCTACTTTTGGATAATTTGGGTTATTCTGTCGTATTTATATTTCACATGTCTGATTTTAGTAATTATTCGCAAATTAAAAGATAAAATAATAAAATATGTAAACAAATTAATATGTAAAAGATATTTTGTTATATTTATTTTAGTAGTAAGCAATATTCATAATTGTTAAAAACTTAAGAGTAAAGGAAAAACCAGTTATAGCCTAGAACATGATGGAGAGCATAACAATAGAAATGGTTCGAACTTTGAAGAAAAAGAAGCAGAAGTATAAATATAATTGATTTATATATATATATATATATATAAAATGTGGGTTTTTGTTTTCATAGTTTTTCCGCCATTTCAGAGAGAACACAGAACAGTTGTTATTGCTATTAACAGTAGTATAGCTTAGCAAAACAGCAGTCTACCTTATACTTCTCGTGATTTGCATTTGCATTTCTCAACTTTTTTTCTTTCTTCTTCTTCTTCTTCTCTTTCTTCATTCACTCCTCAACCTCTCTCTCTCTCGTGCCCTAACCCTAAACAACTATCTCAACTATCTCCTTTTTTTTCCCCCTCTTCATAAACAATAGCGGCGTCGTGTTTGTGTTCTGGGTTTCTGATTGATTATCATCTTTGATTCGCTGTTTCCAACGGTCCTGATCCTTTTTCAGGTACCCTTTTCCCTTCTCTTACTGTTGCTGTCACTGTTTTTCCTTTTCATTAAAATCTTCACTTTTGAGCTTTCTTGTTTCGTTTCTGTTCTGTTCTCTTCTGTTCTTTCTTTCTTTGATTACTTTTATTTTTTTTGGTTTTGATTTATATGATTCTCCATAACTTTGTGGAATCCTAAAAAATTTAAAACCTTTTTCTCTATTTCCGACGGATTTTTGTTTTCGTCTAATTGATGATCAGTGGAGTTCCCAGAATGTGTCCATTTAAAATGAAAAAAACTAGTCGGTTCTATGTATTTATTAATATATTTTAAATAAATAAGCGATAATAACTTTTTCAATTAATAAAAGAAAATTGTTATTAGATTGTTTTAGCATTTTTAGCTGATTTGAGATAAAAAGTAAATTTTTTTTTTTTCATTTTATCGTTTCTTTAATTGTTTGGAAAGATCTGGATGGTTTTATCTGTGCATCGGCTCAGTATTAGGCATGATGTATCTGCAAAATCTTGAGGGGGTGATGGATTTTTTATGTGTATGTTTTTGAAATTATAAACATTGCTTATTGAATTTGGAATCTTTTTGAAGTTTAGAAATTAACTTTTCTAGGAACTTTTAAGACGAGCTCCAAACGAGTTTACCCAGTTGTTTTCTGGGCTGTAAATTTATTTTCAAGTTTGAAGCTTTTATTGTCTTTAAGAGTCCAAATAGTTGTTGTACACCGTTTATATGGTAATCACATGACCAGATTTTGTTTATGAAAGACACGTTGGATGTTTGCGTGGTTTATTGATAACTAAATTTTTTATATTAAGTGAGCAGTTGTGTCTGTTATGACTATCTGCTTGTTCAACTTAGTTGTTCTGAAAAATGAAAATATATGATTGTAGTTGAGAAATTAAATAATTTTTAATCATTTTTGTATACAAATTTTGACTTATAACCGATTAATTAATTTCAATAATTTTTTGTACCCTAATTTTAGTACTTGTTTGACAGTTAAAGCATGAGTTTAATTTATTTAATCATCTGAAATTTGGTTATCATGGCAGGACTGGGATGCATCATTTTGGAAATAGTGAGAATATTATTAACTGGTTATTCAAATTTGGGAATCGGTATGATAGAAGTGAACTTTGCTGGATATATGGCATTCTCTCTGTACTCTGTGCATCTTTATCTTCGAAATTCTTCTTCGGAAATGGGTTAGTGTGAATTTGCGCTGTTGTATTGCTCTTTTCTAGTGTTTGATTGAATCCAACAAGGATGGATACATTCTCCAGTACCTGTGAAATTGTTGAATCAACTGAAGGATTAGATTTTAATTTTAGTGTAGATGAGAAAGGCAAAAAAAATTGTGTGCCAAAATCAGGAAATAAGTATTCTATAGAGGATGATATTAATAGTCTTTTTGAAGCCATTGATGTTAGAACTTCAGCGAGGGGTCTGGATGCTTTAAGGAAGAGTGCTTTGAAAAGACCAATTAGAGTCGGTTCGTCTCAAGCATCGGGGATTGGAATTTCAGAGCCTGTGAGTTTGAAGCAGGCTCTTAGAGGATTATGCATTTCTCAGGCTGCAGAGATGGCTGCTATGAAGCGATTGTCCAAACCATCAGGTTCTTCAAGGTCCTCAGAAGCAGGAACTATCAAGCGTTTGTACAGGGCTGTAGTAGTTGAGGCCAATGAATCTGGTCTTCCCCTGAATGAAGGTAAAGGAAATGTAGTTGAAATTTCTCTTGTACCAGAAAAAATAACATCAAATATTTCCGAGAAGATGCCTGAAGCACCCAAATCGGAGTCTCCAAACCAAGCTACTTACCCATCTACCCCCTTGGATATGCCAATGACATCAAAGGCAATGATGACCAAAGTACCATCGCTGGATCAGGTTGTTCCTTTTGTAACGGAGACTGAGAAGGAAATATCAAAGCCAGAGCTTCAAAAGCAAACTTCTATAGATTCTTCATGTGTAGCTGTTGCCAGCAAGGAAGTGCAGCAGGGGGAAAATATAGCTTCTGCCTCAATTGAGGTTCCTGTCAACACTGCAGTGCCAGATAAGGTGCTAAAAGGCAAGTTGAATCCTGGGTCTTCTCTTTCTAGTTCCAGCGCTGGTAATATTGTGAACAAATGTGTTAGCAGTAGTCCAGGTCTAATCAAACCAGTCTTTCGGAACAAGAGCTTTATTAAGAAAAAAGGAAAGCAGGATTCAACTTCTGCGTCCAGCAGTTCTAATCCATGTGATGGAAGTGCTAATAATGATCTGCGTCCTAGTACAAGTTGTATGGACAGCCATACACACAACTCTGCTGTGGACAATGAAAGGAAAGAAAATATGAAAGCTTCTCCAGCTTCCAACAGTACTAATATGAGCATTGAAGTTAACTCAAATGTTACAGATACAAGTACAAGCAAACCAGGATCAAGTTTGATTAGTGGTAACAGAGCTAAAGTAGTGACAAAAGTGGATGAGAAATCAAGATCAAGAGAAAAGGGTGAATTCTCCCAAAGCTCTAAAAGTAGCATTGGTGAGTACAGTAGTAGCACAAGCATTAGTGAGGATAGCACTCTTAGTGGATCTAGTCGTGGTGGCAGTAGGCCTCACATGTCAAAAGACTTGAGATGGGAAGCCATTCGCCATGCTCAGAAGCATCATGGATGCTTGGGTTTAAGGCACTTTAAGCTTATCAAGAAGCTCGGGTGTGGGGACATTGGTACTGTTTATCTTGCTGAGCTAACTGGTACAAGCTGCTTATTTGCGTTAAAAGTGATGGACAATGACTTTTTGATGGGTCGGAAGAAAATGCCTAGGGCCCAAACTGAAAGAGAGATACTGCAAATGTTGGATCATCCATTCCTTCCTACACTCTTTTCTCATTTTACAACAGAGAAATTCTCGTGCTTGGTGATGGAGTATTGTCCAGGTGGAGATTTGCACGTTTTACGGCAAAAGCAACCTAGCAGATGCTTCTCTGAACAAGCAGCCAGGTTTGAATCTATGATGTATCTCATGTTTGTTATTTCATAAATTTAGCCACATTCATATTTTCTTGCTTCTTCATAAGTGCTTCTGTTTTGGGTTCTAGGTGACATATTCATCTTATTTAAATTTTTTTCATGACGGCATTAAATCAGAAGCTGTTTTAGGGCCAAAACCCTTACCTTGTGGTGACATTAGGGGAATTATTTTTGGAAGATCATTACTTGTTCTTCGGTTGTTACCAATTGAACTGGATGGCAATTGCATTGACATATAGATTAAGTGGTTCTGTTTGGTCATGCAGAATATATAAATAGTTAGCTAACATCGTTGTGGAACTACTTTTTATTAGGTTTTCTTCTGTCAGTCTAACTAGTACTGGTCAAACATGACACCACTGGGATAAATGGAGGCTAAACCTCATCAAGTTTCAGTTAAAAATTTAGGAGCTAGCGCATGATTGTTCATCCATTATTTCATGTCATGAACCATATATATTCTCAGTTCTAATTTGGAGTCGTCATATGTGCAGGTTTTATGTTGCTGAAGTGCTTCTTGCATTGGAGTACCTACACATGCTTGGAGTTGTGTATCGAGATTTAAAACCAGAAAATATCCTGGTTCGAGAAGATGGGCACATCATGCTCTCAGATTTTGATTTGTCACTCAGATGTGCTGTGAATCCTATGCTGCTTAAATCATCCTCACCTGTTGTGGAACCCACAAAAAAGGCATCAAGTCCGTGCACTGAATCTAGCTGCATTGACCCTTTTTGCCTCCATCCATCCTGGCAAGTCTCATGCTTCACTCCTAGACTTCTCTCAGTTGCTGCTGCAAAATCTCGTAAGATAAAATCTGACCTAGCTGCTCAGGTTAGTCCACTGCCACAGCTTATAGTGGAACCAACCAGTGCCCGATCAAACTCCTTTGTTGGAACTCATGAATACTTGGCTCCAGAAATCATCAAGGGGGAGGGTCATGGGAGTGCTGTTGACTGGTGGACGTTTGGAATCTTTCTGTTTGAGCTATTATATGGAAGGACCCCTTTCAAGGGATCAGCAAATGATGAAACACTATCAAATGTGGTATCACAGAGCCTTAGGTTCCCTGGTTACCCAGTCGTTAGCTTTCATGCAAGAGACTTGATTAGAGGGCTACTAGTAAAGGAACCTGATAACCGACTAGGATCTGTGAAAGGTGCTGCAGAAATTAAACAACACCCTTTTTTCGAAGGCCTTAATTGGGCTCTCATACGGTGTGCAATACCCCCGGAGCTGCCTAAGTCATGTGATGCTGCTGTTGTTTCGCAGGCCATGGCTTCACAGAAAAAGGAGAATATAAAGTGTGAGGAGTTGCAGGTTACAGAAGAGAATGTGGAGTTTGAAATGTTTTAGCTAAAACTTGCACAATATGGTAGAGGCAGAGGCTTGCTTTTCTTTTTGGGAAACTGAGATTTGTCATCCTTGTTGTAACTGATACATAGCATATAATGTAAAGGCGCAAGTTAATTGAGTATGATACAATATATAGTATATATACTAGAGTAGTAGTATAAGGTCCCAAAATCAGTGTTCATTCTGTTTTGGCTCAGCATTCATGATTCTTTGGGAATTTTAAGCTTTTCTTTTACCAGGTTTTGAGCCGAGTTTTTGTAAAAAATTCAGTGTTGATGGATGATGGGTACTAACGGAAGTGGGAAGATGATATTTGATTTGTATAAATTGTCAAACAGGAATTACTGAGGGATGCTGGTAACACTTGGCTTCCATGGGCACAGGCAAACTGGGAACTGACTGAATTGGGATTTTTTAGGTCTTTTCCCAAGTAATACTAAATGCCAAATTTTTCACTATTCTAAAAAATAATTTTTGAACTATGTCCTACAACATAAAAGTTAATAACAATTTGCCTCCTGAGGTATCATAAAGCAGCAAAGTTCCCTTCAACTACATGAAATAACAATTTACTCCTTACAATCGAAGTGTTTTCTGACTAATACATTTCGTTAAATTAAACCGTAAAACCCTTAAACCCTTATGGAATGAGTAATACTACACATACATCATTTTCATACAACATTTCTCATACAACATTATGTGGCAAGATATGATTGGTTAATTTAAATTTAAAATTAAACTTTCACCCAATCACATCTTGTCCAATAATGTTGTATGAGAAATGTTGTATGGGAACGATGTATGTGTAGTATTATTCCTTATGGAATAGGGGGAAAATAGATATTTACTGCTAACTAAGGGGGAAATAAGATTCAATAAAGTAATTTTAGGATAGTTTTATGTTTTAAAATTATCAAAAAAAAATTGTTCTGATTTTGTTGCTTATAAACTTAACTTGTATTATATAATTCGGCATCTATCTTCTTTCTTGAGCCCAACAAAATCAAAGGCCTATAATTGTTCAGTCATATCCAACCCACTAACTAAATTCAATCTAATCATCAGCCCCATTGTCAAAACTTTCAAATTCATCCTCATTTTCCAGGCTTTCAGCTGCAATGAAAGTGATGCATTCATCACTTTCATTGCACACTACTTCCCCTACGATTAGAGTTTTGACATTTTGTAATTTACGAATTTGCCATCCTCTTTCTTTAACGTCATCGTTTCTCACTCTTCTTCCGCCAACCCAGCGCTGCACCAATATCTCCATCAAGTTTGATCAAATTTATAAACCCACTTCTTTTTCTTCATCTGGGTCTTCAATAAAAGCGTCAATGGCTTCGTCAGCCACCAAACCCTTCTCTGTTCTGTTTGTGTGTTTAGGTAACATCTGTAGAAGCCCAGCTGCAGAGGGTGTGTTTAGAGATATTGTCAAAAAGAGAGGCCTTGATTCTAACTTCAACATTGATTCTGCTGGCACCGTTGGTTTCCATGAGGTATTTCTACCAATCTCTATTCTTTTCCTTTTTTGGGTGCATTTAAAGCCGCATAAAATACAAAATTTTGNTCCGGGTCTTCAATAAAAGCGTCAATGGCTTCGTCAGCCACCAAACCCTTCTCTGTTCTGTTTGTGTGTTTAGGTAACATCTGTAGAAGCCCAGCTGCAGAGGGTGTGTTTAGAGATATTGTCAAAAAGAGAGGCCTTGATTCTAACTTCAACATTGATTCTGCTGGCACCATTGGTTTCCATGAGGTATTTCTACCAATCTCTATTCTTTTCCTTTTTTGGGTGCATTTAAAGCCGCATAAAATACAAAATTTTGATCACTGGGGACGTTCTTTTGTTTTCTTATGAGTAACCTGCATTGGTATTATCATCCTCAAGTTACACCTTAACGAATTTCTTCAATGGTTTATTATCATTCAAGGGTGATTTGGCTGACCCAAGAATGAGAGCGGCTGCAAAACGGCGTGGGATTGAGATAACATCAATTTCAAGACCAATCAAGCCGTCTGATTTCAAAGATTTTGATCTTATTCTTGCAATGGACAAGCAAAACAGTGGTATAATAGTATTAAGATGCTGTTTTTATTTTGTTTTTGATCATTCGGGCTTAAATTTATGGTTTGGATGGTCCTCTATATTGTGTGCAGAGGATATACTGGGTGCTTTTAATAAGTGGAAATTTAAGGAACCACTTCCTGAGGATGCACACAAAAAGGTTAGCTATATAGCGTGGGTAGTTTGTAAAATTTTATTGGGATTGTTAAATCTGTAATCTTATGCGTTGGTTGATGTTGCAGGTTAGGTTGATGTGCTCTTATTGTAAGAAACATGATGAAACAGAAGTGCCTGATCCGTACTACGGTGGACCTCAAGGATTTGAGAAGGTAATATATGTGTATTTTATTATATATCAATTACATTATGAAAAGTGAGATGGAAGAGCAGATACCTCGGTTCTTTTTGTGCATATTTAGGAGATGAAACTTTCCAGAATAAATGATATGCAGCAATGTCATTTGTTATGATGATATATTAATTGAGACATGATAAATTAGTTGTGGCACTTTTGATTTATTATGTCAAACACTAGTTTATTCTAGTGGCTTAATGATAATTATTTCTTAAGAAGGCATGTTTTGAGGCTCTTTTGGATTTGCCAACTCATAAATAAGATAGGATCGATCCTTTGTGAAATTAAGTTATCCCACTTTAGTGACCTTTTTGCACATTCGGATGAGCACTGGTTCATTCCTAGAATTGAAGGTGGTATCTCTTTTCTCTGTTTTACTTGGTGTGGCTACATTATTGCAGTAGTTCTAAAGCAATGATTGTATAGCTCATGGGATGTTAGTTAAAGTTTTGAACTGACAGCTTGTTGTGGTGGTGGCCATCATGATCATGGTAGCATGGTGATGCTGGTTTGCAAGTGGTGGTGGTGGTGCTTGTTTATTTGGGTATGATGATAGCCTGTTGGAAGCATGGTAGTGCTGGTTAATATAAGTTGATATTGGCAATGACATTTTGGTTGTGATGGTGGTGAAAGCATTAAAGACAATGGCATGATGACAGAGCAATGGCTGCTGGTATAGATTTCCCTTAGAAAAAGGAGCAGCTAATCCATACATATTTATTTCCTATCTTGGGTCGTTATCCTGTGAATAAATTGTTGCCGTAGCATTGAAGCCTGGTGTAAGAAATTATATAATTATTTGGTCTAGAAATTAAAAGATGGATAGGGCTCTTCGCTGTAGCAAATACTGGCATTTGTATGGATGTGCTTACCTGGCCTAGAAATTGTATGAGTTATGTTAGATATATTTCTGGCTTCCGTTAAGCTAATGATGTTGCCTAATATTGCCCAAAATGCATTGACCTCTAATTTATATATCCAAGACACCAGTTGGTCATTTATTCTTTACTTATTTGAAGTATGCGTCATCTTATAACAATTTTTGGTTCTCAGCATTTTCTACTATATAAAGCAGCTTATTGCTAATATTGGTGGTATTTGAGTATTACAGGCCCTCTTAAAATTGATTTAATTTAGTATGATCCTCAACTTATTAATCTTTTGCCATGGCAGGTTTTAGATCTACTTGAAGATGGTTGCGAGTCATTGTTAGACAGCATTGTGGCGGAGAACAATCTAATGTAAATTCTGAACTCCTGATTGGAAGTTGCTACGTGTTGTTGGGGTTGATCTCGATGGATGAAGTATTTGTTCTTATACTGCATAATGTTTTATTAGTTACCTTATTAAGTTACATTCAGTCACGGTCATCATGATGTAATATAAAAAATCCCAGTGGGTCAATTGTATTCCTTATATTATTGCAGCAGAGATGGAATTTGGACATAATGTTGCTATATGAATATAACTGTGTTTTGTGCAAATGTGTAACTATTGTTTGGGTGCATCCATGCCATGAAAGTTAAAATATTGAAATGCCAACTTAAGTATGATTAATCGTCACTGGGTGATTGAGTGGTTAATTAGAACTCTTGGGTGTATTATTTAAAGATGTCTTAAGTTTGATTCATATCAGATCCGTCCTTAAATTGAATCTGTTATAAAACAGGAAAAAATACGTTGTGGGGTTGAGTGATTTCTAAACCTAAAATGTCAACTGGAAGAAACTTTTCCCCACAACGGAGAGACTTGTAGCATGAAGTGAAGTAGNGTATGATTAATCGTCACTGGGTGATTGAGTGGTTAATTAGAACTCTTGGGTGTATTATTTAAAGATGTCTTAAGTTTGATTCATATCAGATCCGTCCTTAAATTGAATCTGTTATAAAACAGGAAAAAATACGTTGTGGGGTTGAGTGATTTCTAAACCTAAAATGTCAACTGGAAGAAACTTTTCCCCACAAGGGAGAGACTTATAGCATGAAGTGAAGTAGATGTAACATAAACATATATGGTATAGATTATTAAATGGATAAATGCATAAGAATATATGAATGACTTGAAATTAAGCCTTTCTTAAAGAAATTATTATTGATGTTTGGATAAATGGTGTAATTTTGAAGGCACTTCTTAAAGAGGTCAGCGACGATTGATATTTGGTGCGAGGCAATGAGACATTACTCATTATATTTATAGGCAAAAGCACTCAATTTTGACTCTTTAAGTTGCAACCTGAAATAACAATATTTAACAAACAGAAATAGATCCTTTTCAGAGTATTACTAAGATACCAATCCATCTAAAATGTTTTTGGGAATCGGAAGATTAACACCTAAAAACAACAATCAATTTTGACGCTTTAAGCAATATTTTCCAATTGGTATGTTCACTCTCTCTCTCTCTCTCTCTCTCTCTCTCTGAATGTAACATCTTTTTTTCCTCTCTGTTTTACTTGGGCTAATTTAACTCCAAATTTGGACGAAAACAAAAATATTAATCCCAAGTAGCTTCACAACCTCACCTGCATGCTGCACCTATTACATGTTGAACGGTACCTTGCTCACCGGGTTTCTTTTATCAAATTTTATGTCCATAGAACTTGGAAGAAAGCAGAAATCTATTGAGATTGTCTAATTCACAATTGCAAGACATGCCTATACAGTTCATGTTCATATATGCAGTTTAAAATATATTCACCCGATTAACATATTTCTTTTCCAGTGCCAGTCCTCACAATTGCTTGCAACATCAGCCAACATAAATATGAAAAATTAGAGCAACAAAACCTGACAAATCATTGCGTTAATCACATTCATATTTTCCTCAAGTCCTCAAAAGAGAAAAATGGTCCACGGTTACAAAACCAGAAGGAAAAGGATCAAGTGGTGTGACACTATATCAATCTTGATAATACTATGAGGCTATATATCATATTTACAGAAACTGTATTTGCTAAAACGAAACTACTTCACAACAGTATGGTATTAGTATTACCATGCTGTGACCCTTCATTGCTTCATAGTCTAAACTCATACAATGAAGGACCGCTTCAATACTTTTCGGCCACGATTCCTACGTGGGTTAGCACTAATCATGGACGAAAAGGTGTTTACAAGTTCTGAATCTTCTTCATTTACAAGAATTTTTGCGGCATTTGGGTTGGCGAGGAGGAGCTTCGCCACAAGATACCCAGCAATTGACCAAGTTTGAAATAGCCGTGACTGCTTCCCTATAAATCTTCCTTGCTTTGTATCATAATATTCAGGCCACTTATCTCCAGATATACGCCGCTCAGCAAGTTTGACAGCTTTTTCAGCAATCTCTGGTCTATTCATCTTTATGCATGCAACAGTAAGCTGAGACAGCACCAGAAATGAAGTCAATATTCTAAGATTTATTTTCAAACGAAAACTGCAATATTAAAAAAGTTAAACGGAAAGTTGTGATTCCTGCATCTTCATACACAGCCACATATTATACATGTCCCAGACTAACAGTAGTAAGTGTTAATACAATTGTCCAAACATGTCAAAGGAACTAGAAATACAAACCCATATCAAGATTTTCTAATGAATAGAATTACATAAAAATGCTCAGCACAATACGCATAGAAAATTACTAATTAAACTATGTATCTTCTGTTTTATTAGCCTTAACAGACCATTTTGGTATTCTTGACCATTTCAAGCTTATTGATCAAATGTCAAAAGGCAGTTTTCTCCCATTTTTTTCTCAGATGACCATTAAACTGATTGTTGCTGTTCACTATTTTGAGCAAACTTGATAGACACTTAATTTCAGCCAACAATCACATTATGGAGGAAAGTCCACCAAGAGAACTACTGGTTTATTCCAAAAGGAGAAAAGATAGAGCGAGATAATTCAAGAACTCAAATTAAGGGCAATCAATCTACAAAAATTAAGGAGCTGATTTCAAGGGAATAAATGGGGAGGATTATTATCAGAATAAAAGAGATTACATTGGTAGTATATATACGGCCACCAACAGACAACATGAGTATAATTTTCATTTTGGCTCTTTAAGAGTTGTAGTCGGGTTAATCCTGGAACAGTTGTTTTAATTCTTTTATTCCTCTTTTGTTTTCAATCTTCTCTCAAATTAATAAAACCAAGCTCCACTTTATACACCATTTTCATTCTAACAAATTTGTCCGACACCATGTGTGACTCCATTTTGGTCTCTGGCATGAGTCAAAGGACCGGCAGGTCGGACCAATTTGAGTGAAAACGGTGTATAAAAAAATGGAGCTTGATTTTATTAATTTGAGAGAAGATTGAAAACAAAAGAGGAATCAAAGAATTAAAACAATTGTTCGAGGATTAACCCGACTACAACTCTTAAAGAGCCAAAACGAAAATTATACTCATGATGCCATGTTGTCTGCTAGTTGCCGTATATATAATACCAATGTAATCTCTTTTATTCTGATAATATCCTCCCCATTTATTCCCTTGAAATCAGCTCTTTAATTTTTGTAGATTGATTGCCCTTAATTTGAGTTCTTGAATTACCTCTTACCATATCTTTTCTTCTTCTGGAATAAACCAGTGGTTCTCTTGGTGGACTTTCCTCATCAACGTGATTGTTGGCTGAAATTAAGTGTCTATCAAAACTGCACCTAGGCCAAGAAGTGCATAACTATAGCACGGTCCTCAACTATGCATTTATGTCAATCTCTGGAGAAAATGTTTTGTTTTAGGTTTAGAGATTTGGGATTCACTTTTATATATCTGGGTCATAATTGCGAAGCCAAAAAGAAAAGTTCCAAGACAATTTTTCCTACATGAGATAGCCTTATGTAATTCAGAAGAAAAGTTATCTTTTTCAGGAACAAAAGAAGACGGATGCTAGAGTCCGGAGCAAAGCTAGGAATTTTTTTTCCAGCCGGGCTAAAATCAAACTTTATATCATGTAAATATTATTTACAATTACTTAATATATGTTTTACATAAACCTTGATGATTAGAGAAAATTTCATTAATAATAAACTATATACACATTAATAGGGGAACCCAATAAATCTTACTCCTTCAAAAAAAGTACTAAAAAAATACTACAACAAAGTAAAAAATAAACATGTGATATAAAAATAATAAAATGCTATTAAAACTTTGCCCTGTGATGTTTCAAAAAGTAAAATTCATTTGTGGCTGAATCTTAATTAATCAATAATTTCATTAAGTTCTTAGTCTTAATAATGAGTAGATTTTCTTTATTATGTCTTACAATCCATAGAAACACTATATTTATTAAATTTGATTAAAAAGATCCTCATTTGGGTATTATCTTTATGTTTATAAAAAGGATCCTACTCCACACTTCCTACATATAAACTTACTAAGCCCCAAAATCACATTTCAAAAATTCAACTTACATATATAATATGTCTAAATCAATTGACATCTTTAACAACATTACAATATTAGAAACTAATATTGAGAGAATTAAAAATTACAAATGAAAATCACAAACTAAAGTTTAAAATATATATGATTATTTTAAAAACGAAGGCCATTTTGGACTTTGAGAGAGTAAAACAATAAAAACTCATAAATTATACTATAATACTTTAAAAAAAGTTAGAGAGAGAGGTAGAGAAATAAAGAAATGATTGTAAGAATAAGCAAAATCCTGACAAGACAATGAGTGAAAATGAGAGTTGTAATTGGTAATGAAAAACGAGTAAGAATGAGGGTTGAAATTGGTAAAAAGAATTAAATTGAGTAAAATCTAGTAGTTACATTTCACTTGTTAAGGGTATTTTCGTCCTAATATATAATTATTTTTTCAAAAAGCTAGGCTGGGCTACAGCCCGGTCTAGCCTCTATCTAGCTCCTCCTGCTAAAGTAATTCGTCTAATTAACCTTAAAAGCAAGCTAACTATATTCCATAAACTTTAACTAATTTCTGGACAAGCATAAGTCAAATGTAAAAATATATACACTGACCCTAAAGAAGACTTTAAATGAAACATAAAGCCTCTTTATATCAAGAGCATTCATGTTTCATGCAGTGGCATATTATAGCACAAAAGAGATGGATATTATTCTATTATAGCACTGAGGCTAGTCTCAAGGCAGTGGAGGCAATAAATCATTTAATGTAATTTAAAAAAATTATACCAACCTGCCAGAGCAATGTAGGCCAAGAACCTCCATTGTGATAAGACCAAGGACTGCAACAGAATATAAAGTCTAAAGTAAGAACCAGGAAACAGGAAATAAGATGTCATAGTTGTGAAATTAATAAGAACATTATAATGATAAAGTGAATGTAGTACGTGTTCTTGGGATCACTGCCTGTTATAATTCGCCATTCCTGACCCTCAAGAGCAGGATAACATATTTTGAAGGGCATATCTGCCACTAATTCTGCCCACTTTGCTTCAATGAGATCCAATATGGCATGTGATTGATCCAGTGTAGCAAGACAGCTTACAATAGACCATAAATTTCCAAGAGAAAAGAAACGGAATTCCATGTGAGCTGGCTGAAGATTTCCAATCAAATAGCCTCCTCTATCGGGCATAAACTGCACCAGCCAGGGAGGAATTTGATCTGGGTAGATGTTGAACTTATTAACTGCGTCATAAGAGTATTCCTCTGTCTTGTAACGGTAAATTTCATTAAGTTTTTTCATATCAATCCAGTAATATTCCCTGATGTGGAATGACAATGCAACTAGACGATTGTTCAGAGCTCTCATAAGGTCAGCAGATCCATCCTCCTGAGCAAGCATTTCACGTCCACACAGCAATGCAGAATAAAAAAGTGCCTATAAGATGATACAAAAACTTGTGAAACATAATGATAAATATGATGTTAAAAAGCAATAGACAAAAATCTTCTGCAAAGTTTGGGCTGGAGGGATGAGATAAAATTAGAGGTATTAAGAAACACAATGAAAAGTTTCAAAAAGAAAGTAGATAACCTGAATTTCTAAAGGATGGCCATGAATTCCCATGCGACGATCTATCATGCATGAACCATCAGTTACCAATAAAGTTGGGAACATATCAAAACCGTCAGCAAGGCACAGCTTCAAAATCATTTTAATGCCAGTTTGCACATCAACTCTCTCCTGCACTGAAAGATCCCCAGAGCATTTTCCGTACGCTCGTAATAATATGATCCACCACAATCCTGGAAGTACAAACAGAACTTGTAAAGAACACTCTCAAAATTGATTCAACACAAACATATATGCAAGACTAGTTTCTTACCAGAATCAACAGGTGCAACACGACCAATTGCAGCTTCACCAAAATCAGGGTCTAATACATCTTCAGTTGCAGAATCATCACCATCTAGTGGAACAGTGCGCACCTTGAAACTGGCAGGCATCAGTCCTTGACCAGGACTATAACAATCCATGGTTTTCTCCCAGCTCTATCATTGCAACAAGTTTATTTACTTCAGCGGTGAAATAATAACCGAAGTTGTATGAATTTACAAAGTGACAGTAGGAATCAAGATTTGTGCTTCCAACAGAGCCATCAAATAATAGAAAATACCAAGCATGAATGTGAATTTAAATTTAAGGACAGAAAGAAACTTGCAACCACCAATACATTATCAGCAGATAACCTCCTGTAAGCTTCTAAACCAATTCCCTGAAAGCCAAGACATTTGGACCTACAATATCTATTTAAGACAATCTTCCCGCCCACAATGCCTACATAGTTAGGCTCTCATTAAGAGTATGTTTAGAACTACATAGTCAAAGGATAAGTGCTTGCCTAATTTCAATTGCTCAGAAAAATCAGGTATGTAGAAGCATTTTAAATACAGCAATGTATTGACAGGAGATGTGGTGGTTATCACTGGGAAAAGAAACTCCAGCACTAAAACTGAATTAAGGATATTGAAAAACAACGGAAAAAATGAAAAAAATGCTCATTTCATGAAAGCTAATACTCACCTACATGAATCAAGCAACTGGTTGCAACAGCTAATTGGATAACTAAACAAGATATGCATATTACCTGCAACTGAAGGGTGTGAAGAATGAAATTCCGTACGATATCATACTCTCCTTTCAAAAGGAATGCTATTCCAGATGGTATGAAATCACGAATAAATACTTGATCATAGTTCAGGATGGTAGAACTACTTAGGTCATTAGCAGCAATTGTTCCAATAGGATTCCCACAGTAATAAACCATGGATGCTCTTAGTAAATCCCATGCCTCTTCCTCAATTGATGTTGAATAAGCCTTATCGATTGTATCTATAATTGCTCCAGAAGCTTCTGACTTATCATTTGATGCAAAACCTCCATTTTCATTTTTTGATTGTTGGGTAAACTCAAAATCTTGACTTCTTGGCACACTAGATTTCCCATTAACAGGAAGTGATGTTCTTCTTCCATCATCTGCAGTTAGGCCACCAGTGCTTTCAACTCCTCGGCATTTGCAAATAAAAAACTTCAACCTATTACCACTTGTCTTTCCATGAGAATCACCATCTCCAGGTTCTCCACAGCGAAAACCATACACACTCAAGCGGTTTTGCAAACCGTTATGCCATTTGGTGTATCCAATTCCTTTGTTCTTTATACAGATTACATTAGATTTAGGGGAAAGAACTGAATTTGAACTATAGATACCCCGATCATATGAATACACACAAGGCGAGGCCCTCGAGAAAACCTGTAGAACTGCTTTGGAAGCAACCATCGGGCTATGTAAATTAAACTCAATAAATATCTTCAGCTTGCACCTCAAAGGATGACCTCTGAACCTAGTTTACAAAACCTATCCAAACAAAACAAAATTCTGCAAATGAATCTTCTACTAATCATTCAATTTCTCAACATGTGAAACAATATGGTACTGGAATGTAAACCCCAATTATCATCACTGGACTTATCAGGTCATGGTAACCAAAAAAAAAAACATTTTGGTAGAGCATAATTTCATAGTAGTATCATTCAACATAAAAGTAACAAGAAAATAACGTCATAGTAGTACCATTCAACATAAAAGTAATAAGAAAATATTAATTACATATAACATCGATCATTTTAGTAACAATACAACTAGTAATTGGAAAATATTATCATTCTGGCTCCAGGAGATCTCAGAAATGATTCCAGAAAACTAAACTAAACAACTACAGGTGCATAGAAGGATTAGATGCATCTAGAATCATTTCAATTGGTTCAATCAAATTTCAATTATATATCCTTCAAAGAAAATAAGAAGATAGAAGTAATATAACCTTTTTTTTTTCCAAGTTTTCTCAGCGGCCAAAGAATCAAAGAATTAAAAATCAAAAGCATTGAGTTATCTTCAATGAAATAATTAACTATTTTGCTCATGAAGATTACGGAGAATGATGCACGATGCTTCAAGTTCAACTAGTATTAAGTAATCCGTGTATAGCTGCTCACCTGTTTTTATCATCAGGATTCACGCCTGGTTTTTTCTATATATTGTTTTTTATCTCCGGGGAATTTGCAGGCTTTCGTAGTCTCTCTCAGGTCCGAAACAAGAGGAGAGTATATGAGGCTTCCAGCGAACAGTTAAATAAACAACAAAGTCAGTTGGGCTGGTGTTATTGAAGCCCACTAAATATCTTCATAAACTCCATTTCAAATTAAAGTTATTAAAAAAATTGATTTCCAAAATTATCCCCATCTTTAACTTGTGTTTTCAGAATTTAAATCCTTAAAAAAATATGGATGCCCCTAAATTCATATAAAAAAACTCACCAAAGATTTGTTGTTCATATGAAATATTAGTTAATGGCTTTTCATTGTAATGTAAACCTCCAGCAACAGCCCCACAAAAGGATCTATCATTCATTGTAAACGCCAAGCAATATAATCGATTGGGATTAAAAAGAAAATTGTTCTAAATTTTGAAAATTAAAATTTTATATCAATCATGATTAATTTTAGGTTTGCTTTATTCTCAAGATCACAATACTATTTTCTACTAGTTTAGTTAATTTGTATTGGGATTTAGTTTTACCAGTCGCTGAAGAGTAATTTATATTTCTTTTGTTTTGTGTTAAAATTTTAATTAAATGTTGTTGCATAATCAATAACTTGGATATCAATTTAGTTCATGTGGGGCTTAAATAACACCATTCCGTGATGTTTCTTTAAAGATGAATTGGGTAAACTCTTTTTACTTAGAAAATCATATTTTAGATTCAAGGCCCAAATCCACACAAACCAATAGTTGACATGACCTACAAAACAAAAGAGAGAGAGGCTCTTTTCAAATAAACAACAGATATTTTGAAATAATAAAAATTATCCGGTAGTTAATTAAATTATTAAAAATTACATTATTATGAGTTAATGAATAATATTTAATTACTTTTCAAACTGTTTATTTTAATACCCAAAACTTTTTCATTTTTAATAAAAATGAGAAAAAAAATTCTACTTTCATATAAATTTGGAAGGCATTAAAGTTTATTAGTGGCTTTTCACTTTGACGATTTTATGTATAAGTACCATAAGTTTGAAAATGGGAACAAAATCGTACTTTTATATAAATTTGGCCCTGGCAAAAGTTTTGGTATGGTTTTTGATGAATTATTGTTTGAGAACCATAAGTTTGATTATTAGTGAAGCAATTTTTTTAAATTTCTTTTTATTTCTTTTGGGACTCTTTGTTGTATGAACTTTGTGCCTAGATGATCTATTCAATTCTTGACCTTTATTTTGAATTTGTATATATAATCATAATATCAAATTTGTTTTATCATCTGCCTCTTTGGTTGGAACTTATTGTATATCTTGGCAGGTTAGTTAATGGATTTTGTTGTCGTTTTCAATAACATTTATTTTATTAATAAATAGAATAATGTCATGCAAGTAATTATTTTCAAGGTTATTGAGACCCAATGTCATTGATTACACTCATTTTTCAAATTAATCTGTTTTTGTCCCAGGAATCTTCAGTTTTAAGATACTTAAGAAAATTTAAAATTCAGAGTAAAACTAAAAACCACTAAAATTATTTAAGCAGTATCAGTGTTATCACTGAAGTTTTGACTCTGTAAAAACAAGACAATGGAGCCGAAGACAATATGAACAAATACATGTGATAATCCTTCACTTCAGCATGTTTTGGCCACAGTTTGGAATTTAATTACATCATTCCCTCCAATACTGAGCCAATTTCGCTAATATTGACCAAAACAAGAGAACAAAATTAAATATTGCTCCACTTTACCCAACTTCCATGTGATCATTATCATTCTCTCCTTCATAATATTCATCATCACGTTGGATTTGCTTGTCTTGAGAGTGCTCTGAAAACACAAATTTTATAGTAAGAAAAGACGTTAGACATAACAGTAAGGAAATTTCACAAAATCAAATGACAAATGTTTAAAGTGCATGAACCCAGGCAAAGATTTCAAGGATTCCACTTACGATCTATTCGTTCATCAGGGTTCTGCTCATCCTCATCAAAATCAGGAATATAGAAGTCAGGTGGAACCTGCAACTCAAATTATTGCCATCAGAACAGAAAATTCGTAAATTAAATACCAAAACATTAGCTGCAGACAGCAGGTAAGCAGCCATCAAAATCAACAGCAATTCAAAATTTTACGTTATCCTGAAAGACAGTCTTGTCCTATAAAAGCATTACACACAATTACACAAACATATTTGCTAATTGGAAATAATACCAGTTTTCACATTAGCTCCATATTCTAATCATCAGGAATATTTAAAGAATGGATCAAGATTTCAGATCCAGTGAAATATTTAAAACTATTTTGATGGTATCCACCATGGCAACCAGATAGACCAGGCTCATCTTTGGGTCAAAGTTATTGCAAAGGTAAATGAATGCAAAGCTGATAAATGATGTAAAATAATAAAATATGAATGTAACACAAGATTCTGTCACTTCCCTAGTTCAGGAGTAAATAAAAACTTTCCGAAAGATGTAGAACCAAGCATAAGTAACCATATTTAATCAATCACTACTAATACATCAGGACTAGTCATTACTGGATTTGTTTGGCAACAATTGAAATACTACTCACCTCTTGCATCTGTACACTCGGAGCATGTTGGATGCATCGAAGATTTTCCAGCACTTGCATTTTTATTGTGCTAAGATATGATTTGCTATTCAGATTCTCCTGCTCAATCAATGAAAATGAGAGAAGATGATCAGGAAGGCTGCAGAAAAGGTTACTTTTGAACACAAATTATCATAATGAAGTTCGTAATTTCACAAACTTGCTCTGTAAATCTGCTCTCGTTAGATTCAATTTACACCATTACATGGACTTAAACAAGCTCATTAAATTAAATTGATTAATTACGAGAAAAGCTCCATAAATGAAGTCAAATAAATATGTCAATTTCTTGGAAATTACATACTATATGTCCATTCGGAATCCTCAATGAATTTTCAGGGGCAAAATACTTGATGTATTCATTGTCCGGGATCTCTGTAAAAAACATCAAATTAATAGTAGTTTAGAGTCTGACAATACTAAATTATTTAATACACGGAAATGAAGAAATAAGCGAACACTATCATCTTGAGATATGCCACCAAGACAAGGACATTTTCAATAAAGCAATCCAGCAGCACGAATATGCCACAACACCAACTGAAAACAAGTCAAAACTATAATACACACTAAAACAAATAAACTTTCACTAAAACAAATAAACTTCTATACATGTAGAACATAAATAATGCTAAATTGCCAGTACTCTAAATCTTCAATATGAGATAACTTATTTCCATTTAAGTTTAAGGGAACTTTCCTTCTTTCATTTTTCAATTATAAACAATTCTATGTGCAGAATGAGTTCTCTTAAACAAAAATCACATGCAGCACCAGCAAGGTGGATATACCAATATAAATCTAGACCACATGGTTAACGATTTACCAGCCAGTTCCTACTAGTAGATCCAAGATATTTCCGTAGTACAATTTAACCTTCTAGGGGCGTTTGGATCATATAATGTTTTATTATATGGGTATATTATATTAACGGAAAGAAAGATCACCTTGAAGATTATTGGGAATGTTTAAAAAACGTGTTGGGTTAATTCAAATAAATTGGTGAATAATATATTTGGTTGGGAGAATAAATGAATGGGTATGTTATATAGATTACTAAATTGCCCTCTTTTTTAAATATTAATATAATAGTATTTTTATTATTATTTTTTGAATCATCTCTTTTAACCCCTTATATTTGAAATTTTGCTAAAACACCCTAGCCATATTAAAGTTTAATTTGTAGAAAAATCACCCTAACCCACCCCAGCCACTGTCGGCAGCCAGCCACCACCGTCGGTAGTCAACGGAATGGCACATGACTGGTCGTATATGGTCGGCCGTATGTCGGCAAAGCTGGAAATGGCCATGGATCACAAATCCATAACCAGAAAACGGCCAGATCTATGGCCATTTCACGACCAAAGATGTGGTCATGAAACAACCATAGATTTGGTCGTGAAATAGCCATAGATTTGGTCGTGAAAAAGCCAGATCTGTGGCTGTTTCATGGCCACATCTTTAGTCGTGAAACAACCATAGAAACGCCAGATTTGAGACCGTTTTTTCATGGCCGAAAAAGGCCTTACCAGTGCACGACCGACCAGATCTCACCGCTCATGCACCATTACAGCGACTGACACCGGCGATCGGCAATGGTGAGTCACGACTGGCAGTGGTCTTAGGTAGCTGGAGGTATTTTGTTAACTTCTAAATTTTTTGTGGCTGGAGTGTTTTAGCTAATTTCTCAAATGTAAGGGGGCTGGGTAATTGTTATTTAGTAGACATTTGAGAGCAATTGTTTCTGAAATGGTTTTTAATTAAGGGCAAAATGGGTAGAAAAGTCAGATTACCCCGGTAATGTTTTAATAACAACCCTAACAAGGTAATAAGATTACCCTCCACATTACCAACAATAAACACTATTTGCAATAAAAGATTACTGTAATATTTTATTACTTGCAAACCAAACACCGGAATCTTGGAAAATAAACGAAGATTACCCCTGATCCAAATGGCCCCTCTAAGCTAAGTTCTAATGCCTAAAAGCAACTCAGGTCTTTTACCTTCTTAAACAGCAAATGGGAAATCTATCCAATATTCTGCACTTTGACTATCGTTAAAATGCAACCCAATCCAGTGCTTTTCATATATATTATACGTATTGATGCTTTCCTCGTTTATTATACAAAAAACAGAAACTTCCAATATAATTCAATGTGCCCACTCAAATTTTCAACCAAAATTTGCAAATATGGCAATTAAAGTCCCAAACTTACATCCAACAAAACAACATATCATAACCCTGTGACATTTTGACTGCCTCATGCAATTTAAAAGAATAAATTTCAATTGCACCATAGCATGTCTTGCAAAGGAAGCATTAAATTGAAGGAGAAGACCAAGCCATTTTAGTTTACCATTGGGAAGCTCTGTATCCAAAAGTACTCCTGTTTCAACAGTCCAACACCGAGCAACATTTTCTTTCGTGTATCCCCCACCTCCAGTAACCTGCAGGATAGAGGTTCCTCTTTACATTAAGTGTACAACTGACAACTAATGAACTGCTGGTATTACTCAATCAATTAAGAATATACCAGCAAGGGCAAATTGAATTTCTTCACAAACCGAACACATTCAGCATGCCCTGCAAAAAGTACCACCACCAAGGAAACTTTAACATCAACAGCAGAAATTGAGCTATTGCCAGCTAGCTTAAGACCAAGCAACATCTTAAGATTTCAACAGAAAAAAAAGGGAAAGAAAACTCATTCCTCAATTTAACAATAAATTGAGAAAGAGACCAAAAAATATCAATTACAAAGATATATCTACCATCGATGGAGAGATTGAAACAGCCTAAGCGATCCCTAGCAAGAGAATCTGCTCCACATTGAAGAACTATGGCACCTGGAACATATGTTTCAACAACCTTGGAGATAATCTGGAACACAGGTAGTTGCAAACAAAAGTTTACACTTTGAATCCATCAAGCCAAAACTAACAACTATCATTGAACAATTAGATGCTTGGATCTGGAACTTACCGTCTTGAAAAGCCGAGTGAAGCTAGTGTCATCAATTCCATCCTTGAGTGGGACATTTATAGCATAAAACTTGCCTTCTCTTTCTCCTATTTCCTTCATGTAAACGATTTCTATATATCAATTCAATATAATGGATTAGAAAATGACAACCTGCAAAAAATTGAAAGGCATAAAAAGTACCTTAACATCCCCAGTCCCAGGAAAGAACATATCCCCAAACTTGTGAAAACTAACAGTCATTACCCTGTCATGTTGAACTTCTCCGAATTAATAACAGAAGAAAAGAATTACAACAAGCACATTGAGAAAATTAATGTCTCTCTTACATGTAATCAATTTCACAATTAATGTTGTGTTTCTTTAGTGCACTCAGTCAGCACTATTGAATGGTCAATTCACTTATGTCCAGAAACATATAGATGAGATGAGATGTGTAGCAAGTGCAAGCAAAAAAAAAAAAAACCACGTAATAGAATTTTGTTCCATTAATAAAACCTTCCCACCTTATAATCAAGATAGCAAAGTCTCAGAGATACATAATGATAACAAAAATCTGGATCATCTTTGCATACATGTTGATATTAAACTTCAACGAGGTGACAAAGGGTTGAATCATGTATGCAAAAACATTCCTTGCAGCAGCTCAGAAGCTACAAATGGTGTTACAAAATAACTTAAAGAAACTATCAACCAGGTATATTTATCTACAACACACCTTACATTTGCTATCATAAATATTGTTGTCACAGCTATCTAGGTTTCAAAAGCTTAAACTTTCTAACAGATTTACCAATCGTATCTGATTAAGATCATAATCAAATCAGAAGATTCTAACCTGTCAGTGAAATAAAAAGCTTCTTCTACACCATCACCATGATGCACATCTATATCAATATACAACACACGGGCATGGTATTTCAAAAGCTCCAGGATCCCCAAGACCAAGTCATTAATGTAACAGAAACCAGATGCTTCACACTTTTTGGCATGGTGTAACCCCCCAGCCCAATTGATGGCAATGTCACAGAGTTGATTGTTTAATCTCCGTGCAGCATCTATGAGAAAGTTACAACAAGTAATTACGACTTAAGAAGAAAAATGTATCTTTTACCTAAAAACACGGAGGACTAAGTTGAACAGCAACACCACAAATTCAAATTACCTATCGTCCCACCGGCATAAATTTGACAAAATTCGAACAAGTTTTCAAAGACAGGGCAATCTTCTCCAAGATTATCTGACAATAGTAGAAAGAAATTATTCAAATTTGCAACTAAAAGACATAAAGCATCATCCTAAAATTTAACAAAATAGGCCATACATTTAGCTAATTCGTGTGAGAACAAATGTTGAGTGTCGGGAGTAATTCGGTGTAAGAATTCAACATAATCAGCTGAATGGAACTGCGCTAGCTCCACAGGATACGCCTTGTGGGGACGCTGCATAAAAAAAATAAAAAAATTCAGTAAATACAATCCATGTCCCGTATAAGAAATTAACGAACAATGCAAAAATCGAAGAAGCCACTAACATAGATTTCCATCTTCTTGTGAAGCTCATATGATAGAACGAGATGGTGCGTCATACAAAGCCGATGTGGCTTCATCGGATGGTTAGGCCCAAAGTACACACTACCCACATCTCCTGCAATATCCATCCACCCTTACATAATCAATAACATATTTAACTCTAAGCCAAAAAAAAAAAAAAAAAAAAAAACTGATATATATCTAATTTCTACACTTAAATCAAGCTACTTAAGAAATTCATAATGAGTCTCTATAAGATTTTAACTGCCCACGCGCGCTAGTTACTGAAATTCAAATTGGAACAAATTAATTACCATTGGCTTCAGAGCATGTGAGGCATATGAAAAGTAAAGCAAAATGCTGGGTAAGGCGTACGCTAAGGTTGAGCATGGCTAGGGTTTTAGTTTCAATGAAATTAAATGAAATTGATAAACAGGAAAAGCGAAGAAGAGAACTTTACCATCGTAAAAGTAGGCGATTTTTTCCTTTGAGCGCATTTTAGCGGTAGCGAGGACGAGTGACGGGGGCTGGCTGAGACTATAATAACGATTGCGACATTGTTATTATTTGGAGTTTTGAGTCTTCGAGAGAGGGAAGCGTGTGTGTAACCATTATGATCAGTTTTAAACGACGTGGTATCGTCTCTCCGCAGCCAATTTACGACATCGTGTAATGCTCAACTAGTTTTATAATTGAACGATGTCGTTTCAGTCTCTGCTCAGCCCTTTTCTACTTTTCTAACCCCACCTACTGCGATATGGGAACGGCTAACCTTACCAACATAAATACAAAGTCGAGTATATAAAAACAAATCCTGTTTTAATTTTCATGATTATCTCTCTTTTTCTCCTTTTTTTTTTCTTTTTCTTAAGGACGGAATTTATCTTTGTATATCTTTCTTTATATTTCTTTTTGTAAAACTAGTATTTATCTTGAGATATATATTTTCTATAAAAGTATTATTTTACCTTCTCGAGATTAAGATAATGCTACACGAACAGACTTTTTGTGTACATCTTCCAAGCCTTCAGCTTTGAAGAACCATTTAGAGCATTTTTAAAAAACTTCTCTAGGTGTTAACCTCAGAATTATCCAAGTCTCCGGGTTACCCGAGTGATCCTCGTAATTAGATGATGAACTAATTACCGAATTAGGGTTTTCATCTTCATTTCTAATTATGATAAGATCATCCTCATCACCAATACCGCTATTCCTAAGATATTCATTAAGACTCTTAGACTTTTGCATGAATATACCTATGCGTTGAAGAAGAAGTACAACTGCAGAGGTGTTTAGAAAAGCTAGCAAGAAGGTTAGTATGGCTAGAAACTGATAAACTATTCTATGAGGACGAAGAGTTCAAAGGAACTGACATACTCTATGCAGTAGGAATTCAAAAACTTAAGGTAATGGGGAAATGTCATTTGTTTGACATGTTAAAGTTCAAACTCGAGAATTTAAATGATTTAATAGTGAAATTGGGAAAAACTAACTTGACTGATTTAGTTTAAGGATTATCAATTTATCCTAATAGAACTATGAAATTGTTCGTTCTATGAAAAATCTTTAGAAAAAGTTTCTATAGAGATCTTTTGACTAAAAGATGGATCGGTATAATCCAAATTGATGTACAGGAAGCAGACACCGCTTAGGTTTAGTAAGAAAAATCCGCACCCACAGGTCTCATAAATTAACTGCAACGCCCCCAAACAATAAGCCCTTTGACTTTTATGACCCGATCCGTTTCCTTACCCGCCCAATTCTACATCTGGACAGTTGAGAGCTTAACTACTCTACTACCAAGCACCAACCACAAGCAGAACGAAACTCTAAATGAATTTGGTGCACCTAAATCAATGTAAGTAGAAATCCGAAATAAGATAAACGACACTTTGCGTTTTCTTCTTCTTTGTAAAAGAAATGGCGATATTGGAAGAATCGGTTGCCAGTTCAAAGATTTCTTCGCCAAATTCATACGGAGCTGTTGTTCTTGGCGGTACCTTTGACCGGTTACATGACGGACATCGCCTCTTTCTCAAGGTATTTCTTTCTCTTTTTACATTTTATTGTTATTAACCATCGTCATTAGTTCAAGAAATGTTTGATTTGAAATAAAACTAGGCAGCGGCGGAGCTGGCGAGGGATCGAATTGTCGTTGGAGTTTGTGACGGTCCAATGTTGGCTAACAAACAGGTCATTTTTCTACTTTTGTATTTGAGCATTTCTTTCTTTTATGGGTTGACTTAAATGTTTTTTATTACCTCACCTGTTAGTTTTATAATTGTATGTAATTCATTTTCCAATTCCGATAAATTCGTATCTGATTGAGTTGTAAGGCCTTGGCTGTTTGATAGCATCAGTCACNTTCTTTTTGTAAAACTAGTATTTATCTTGAGATATATATTTTCTATAAAAGTATTATTTTACCTTCTCGAGATTAAGATAATGCTACACGAACAGACTTTTTGTGTACATCTTCCAAGCCTTCAGCTTTGAAGAACCATTTAGAGCATTTTTAAAAAACTTCTCTAGGTGTTAACCTCAGAATTATCCAAGTCTCCGGGTTACCCGAGTGATCCTCGTAATTAGATGATGAACTAATTACCGAATTAGGGTTTTCATCTTCATTTCTAATTATGATAAGATCATCCTCATCACCAATACCGCTATTCCTAAGATATTCATTAAGACTCTTAGACTTTTGCATGAATATACCTATGCGTTGAAGAAGAAGTACAACTGCAGAGGTGTTTAGAAAAGCTAGCAAGAAGGTTAGTATGGCTAGAAACTGATAAACTATTCTATGAGGACGAAGAGTTCAAAGGAACTGACATACTCTATGCAGTAGGAATTCAAAAACTTAAGGTAATGGGGAAATGTCATTTGTTTGACATGTTAAAGTTCAAACTCGAGAATTTAAATGATTTAATAGTGAAATTGGGAAAAACTAACTTGACTGATTTAGTTTAAGGATTATCAATTTATCCTAATAGAACTATGAAATTGTTCGTTCTATGAAAAATCTTTAGAAAAAGTTTCTATAGAGATCTTTTGACTAAAAGATGGATCGGTATAATCCAAATTGATGTACAGGAAGCAGACACCGCTTAGGTTTAGTAAGAAAAATCCGCACCCACAGGTCTCATAAATTAACTGCAACGCCCCCAAACAATAAGCCCTTTGACTTTTATGACCCGATCCGTTTCCTTACCCGCCCAATTCTACATCTGGACGGTTGAGAGCTTAACTACTCTACTACCAAGCACCAACCACAAGCAGAACGAAACTCTAAATGAATTTGGTGCACCTAAATCAATGTAAGTAGAAATCCGAAACAAGATAAACGACACTTTGCGTTTTCATCTTCTTTGTTAAAGAAATGGCGATATTGGAAGAATCAGTTGCGAGTTCAAAGATTTCTCCGCCAAATTCATACGGAGCCGTTGTTCTTGGCGGTACCTTTGACCGGTTACATGACGGACATCGCCTCTTTCTCAAGGTATTTCTTTCTCTTTTTACATTTTATTGTTATTAACCATCGTCATTAGTTCAAGAAATGTTTGATTTGAAATAAAACTAGGCAGCGGCGGAGCTGGCGAGGGATCGAATTGTCGTTGGAGTTTGTGACGGTCCAATGTTGGCTAACAAACAGGTCATTTTTCTACTTTTGTATTTGAGCATTTCTTTCTTTTATGGGTTGACTTAAATGTTTTTTATTACCTCACCTGTTAGTTCTATAATTGTATGTAATTCATTTTCCAATTCCGATAAATTCGTATCTGATTGAGTTGTAAGGCCTTGGCTGTTTGATAGCATCAGTCACGTATTGAAATATTACTTTCGTTTTGATTTTGAATCTAAAAGTTCCAGATAAAAGGTGCGACGACCAGTGGCAATGAGGTTGTTTTACTTGTGTAAATCTTGTTAAATTAAATGATTTTCTTGTAATTTTAAACTGTAACATTCTTTACTTAATAGTAAATCCATTCTAAATCAGTTTATTGTGTTGCAATAGCCAAGTAGAATGGCTATTACAACTATTTTCCTTAAATTAATGAGACAAAACACATTAAATTTTTTTCAAAATTTTTCGAGGATCAAGCAGCAGTTAGTTTTGGCTTATCTAAAACTGCTTTAATTATGACTTGCGGTTACAATTTAATTGATAAAAGTAAATTCCATGTGAACTCTTATGAGTATTGCCATTCAATTTCTTTTGTTAATTTGTGAGGGAAACAGTTTGCTGATACAAGTCTTGTGTTTTCATCTGATATGTCAAACTTACGGTTCTTTGTTCACATATATGCAGTTCTCAGAGTTAATACAGTCCATTGAGGAAAGGATTCGTAATGTTGAAAATTACATCAAGGTATCCAGTACAAGGAAGTATGTTCTATGCTCCAGTTCTTAATTTTAATGAGAAAAGAACGTATTGGGTTCTTGTGTTTTGCGACTTTATGTGAGTACTTTAACCTGGCAAATGATTTATTTATGTCAGACTTGCCTTGTGGACTTGGCTGGGTGGTGAAACACATAGACTTAGGCCTTGTGATTATAAATGGAATATATATGTGATGTTCTTATTTGATTTCCTTTGATTTTCTTTTCCTGCAAAAATTTCAGTCTATTAAACCAGAGCTTAAAGTGCAAGCTGAACCTATTACTGACCCTTATGGCCCTTCAATAATTGATGCAAATTTAGAAGCAATTGTTGTCAGGTATGTTTTTGCTTACTATTTCTCTTTGTCATTTTAGTTTTAAGATGTGTAGCAGGTCTTTTCTTTTTTGATTTCAATTTTCGTAAACATGTGTGCTATTCACTTATATATGAAGATAAAGTCCTCAATATCTTGTTTTATTAAGCTTTGACATGTATGGTTATTTGAATTCATCTACATGTATGAATACTTTGAAATATATGTAAATAATTGCTTGCTTTAATGTTCAAAATCTCTGAATCAATTTGGTGAGTCTTATTTTTCTCAAGTATTTTATTGTCTTATGTGTATTCATCTTAATTTGGGAGTTCCTGCAATAATAGAAATAGAATAAAAGGAAAGATTTTCCTGGTTGCCCCAAATTCTGGAACTGTGATAATCTTATATCTCAGAATAAGTTGTAGTTGAAATATTCTTGACTATTGTGTTTGATATTCTGGCAGCAAAGAGACATTACCTGGTGGCATGTCAGTTAATAAGAAGAGAGCTGACAGGGTTCTTTCACAGTTGAAGGTTATAGTTTCAGTTTCTGTCAATAGCTTTATTTACATATACTTGGAAGCTTTCTCGAAGATTAAACCTTAACATTATGGATCATGTACAGATTGAAGTTGTGGATCTGGTTTCTGAAGGATCCAGCGGAGATAAACTAAGTTCAACAACCTTAAGGAAGCTTGAGTCTGAGAAGGCCAAAAAAGAGCAGCTTGAGACTGAGAAGGCTGAAAAAGAACTGCTCGAGGCTGAGAAGGCAGAAAAAGAACTGCTCAAGGCTGAGAAGGCCCAAGAAGAACGGCCTGCAGAATAAATGTTGGACACAGAAGGGTTGAAGGAATTCTGCATATAATCTGAGTTGTTGAGGCTGAGGACAGGATGAAACAGCTAAAGGAGTATCTGTGTTGAGCATAACGCAAGATCCAGAAAGATTTGTAATTGTAACAATGTAGCATTAACATGATCTTAGCTTGTTCTTTTTCTGTAATGATAAATTGATAATAGAGTGATGTATACAGACAACTAGAATTTTTATAATAAGGCGTACGCATACATTGAGGCACAATATGTGCAGCGGAATAAATTTTGATTGGAAGCATTATATGTTTATGCCAGAGAGTTCACTTTTTAACAGCGATAATATATTTTCTTCTCACCATGCCAAGTCAAATGGGATTAAAAATTGACATCTTATATGAGTTTCATTTGAGAAGAGAGTTGATAATCATATGATGTCTCACCTATCATAATTTGTTGTCAATATCTGATTGTTTTAATTATTTTTCTGACTGCTAAATATAGGTTTGATTTCTGTCTTTAGAGTTGGAGAAGAAAAGGTTATTGGTCGCTTGACATCTTAAATAAGAATTTGTATCCTGCTCTAAAAAATAAAAAGTGATCATAGAATTCATAGTAACATGACAAAATCTCTAAATCTAACTAAAAGTAGTAATAGTAACATTTAAACCAAATATAAAATTCTGTTAGATTATAGATTCTCCATCAGTTACAATTCTAAACATAAGCAATTCCTCCTCTCATTGATGGAAAAAAGCCAGTAGTAACTTCAGGAAGAATTGTGTCCGTTTCCCTGTATCAAGAAACCAAAATTGAGCAATTTTGTTTGCACTGAGCAAACCTGGGAAGGGAACCATATGGCCATCTACTAATACTCCTAATATAGACAGACAGGTCCTACTCATTTCATTTACTACCAAAACTGGTATGTGCAATGGTCAGGATGTCCTTCTTGCTCTTCACAAAACATCGTCTCTTTGCTTCAAAATCAAGTTTATCCAAGTCTTCTGCGATTCCCAAGTAGCTATATAGAACATTCTCAACCTTATCTGCATTACATGTTTTGTCACTACTGATTCTGCCCTGAAAAGTAATGTGCTCGAACTCAGCCCTCCCACGCTTTTTGTCAGCAAATAGCTCATGGAGTTTCTCTGCTTCTTGCAATCCAGAAAAGGTGCCATAAAAGTTCACTACCATAGTACTTTGATTTGCAGCTCTCCCTCGACACACCTTGCTGATTCCCTGACCAAATCCCATACCTGAAATTAGAAGTGGACAGGAAAACTGATTAACAAGGAACAAATGCAAAAAGATCAAATAAACCAAGACATAAAAGACAACAAAATAAATAAATTTGTCAAAGTACAAAGAGCATCAAGTCAATTTTGAAGCAAGGCATCCATGTGAAACTGGCCAAATGACAAGTAGTAAATAATCTCCTTCAAGTTCTAAACACTAAATCAATAAAAAAGGAATGCAGTTATAAGATCAGAGTTTCGAATATCTTGATGCTAGGAATTGTTGGGAACTATGTATATATGTAGTCAAAGGTACATACGTAATTGTAATGTGTGTATATATATATATATATATATATTAGGTTGTACTGTTGAGATAATATAGAAAAAGTAATGGAAAAAGTGCAAATATTTGAAACAAGCAGCATGCACGAGCTGAACTCTCTTCAGGAATTAAACATTCAAGAGTGTCCAAGCATCCCATCATTTCCAGCCGAAGGTTTTCCCAGCAACCTAACATCTCTCTCGATTGAGGATCAGAATATCCGTGAATCATCACTTCTTCAGTGGAGGTTGCCAAAGCTGACATGTCTTAAACATCTGTCTATTCTTGGATGCTCAGATGCAGTTTCTTTTCCGCCAGAGAAAATGATACTGCCCGCTTCTTTAACTATGCTGAAAATTCAAAAATTCCAGAAACTGAAAAACCTATCTTCCCAAGGTTTCAATTGCCTCACAGCTCTCGAAAATTTGTTGATAGGAGAATGCCCAAATCTCACATCCCTTCCAGAGGAGGGTCTGCCACCTTCACTTTTACGATTATGTACTTTTGGTTGTTATAAGCTGGAAAAACAGTGCAAGAGGGGTAACGGAAAAGAGTGGTTTAAGATAGCTCACATCCTTATGTTGAGATTGATCACAGATTCATTTATGAGGAATAAGCTCGATTTGATGTCAAGAACAACGAAAGTTAGTAGAACCAGAGAATTGCCGCATTCTTTCTTTGTACTCTATCAGAGTTTTGGGCGAAGGGTCAGAGAAATATATTTCTGTTAATTTTTTATAAATTAAAATATAAGTTGATGGAAGAAAGATGGTGTGCGGCAGTGAAATTTGACTCTATGACAGTTGACAAATATTTCAGGAGTTGAGTAATTGATGAAGGCCAATCTTCCCGATGATCCAGAGGGCTTAAGACCAAAGATAATTGAGACCTAGAGCGGAACAGGTGGAAAGTAAGTGGACTACATGAACTAGGCTTCCTGGTATTCTGATATGGTACTGATGTGAAGATGATTCAAGTACAAGAAGAATAAGTGGTAGTGCAATGTTTTCTGGCTGGGTTGAGGCCGAGATATGAGATAGCTCATACACAGCTTCATATCGGCAAGACAATTCCCTCTCTTACGGATGTCTTTGCTTGACTTCTCAGAGTTAGTAAGAGGGAAGATCGAGGAGTTTCTGGACAAAGAGACTCTTAAAGATATTGATGTAGATCATGCGGCCCTAGCTAACATGACACCTAGTGATGGCAAAGGCAACAAAAGGGCAAGTCGTGATACCGGAAGCAATCGTGGTAATGGCCCTTGTACTTGCTTCCATTGTGGTGCTGAGGGTCACGTAAAAAGAATTGTTAGAAGCTCCATGACAAGCCTCCGAATATGCAAGGAACTTAGAAGTTTGCTCATGTTGCAACTCAAGATGGTCTCTTACCCACCCTATCACAAGTTACTATCTCTGCAGCTGAGTATGCTTGCCTTACTCAGATTTCTAGCTCCTAGTCACCCATCCCATCCATTGCCGCTACATTAACCAAGTTAGATAATCCTGCAACTTGTTTATCTACTTCTAGTAGTAACTGGGTCATTGATTCTGGTGTTACTCACCATATAACGGGCGATACAGGTATTCTCTTCTCATTTACATCTTCTTCTGATTTGTCTTCTGTTNTAGAACCAGAGAATTTCCGCATTCTTTCTTTGTACTCTATCAGAGTTTTGGGCGAAGGGTCAGAGAAATATATTTCTGTTAATTTTTTATAAATTAAAATATAAGTTGATGGATGAAAGATGGTGTGCGGCAGTGAAATTTGACTCTATGACAGTTGACAAATATTTCAGGAGTTGAGTAATTGATGAAGGCCAATCTTATCGATGATCCAGAGGGCTTAAGACCAGAGATAATTGAGACCTAGAGCGGAACAGGTGCAAAGTAAGTGGGAACTAGGCTTCCTGGTATTCTGATATGGTACTGATGTGAAGATGATGCAAGTACAAGAAGAATAAGTGGTAGTGCAATGTTTTTTGGCTGGGTTGAGGCTGAGATATGAGATAGCTCATACACAACTTCATATCAGCGAGACAATTCCCTCTATTACGGATGTCTTTGCTTGACTTCTCAGAGTTAGTAAGAGGGAAGATCGAGGAGTTTCTAAGGACAAAGAAACTCTTAAAGATCCTGATGTAGATCATGTGGCCCTAGCTAACAAGAAACCTAGTTATGGCAAAGGCAACAAAAGGGCAAGTCGTGATACCGGAAGCAATCGTGGTAATGGCCCTCGTACTTGCTTCCATTGTGGTGCTGAGGGTCACGTAAAAAGAATTGTTAGAAGCTCCATGACAAGCCTCCGAATATGCAAGGAACTCAGAAGTTTGCTCATGTTGCAACTCAAGATGGTCTCTTACCCAACCTATCACAAGTTATTGTCTCTGCAGCTGAGTATGCTTGCCTTACTCAGATTTCTAGCTCCTAGTCACCCATCCCATCCACTACCGCTACATTAACCTAGTTAGATAATCCTACAACTTGTTTATCTACTTCTAGTAGTAACTGGGTCATTGATTCTGGTGTTACTCAACATATAATGGGCGATACAGGTATTATATTCTCATTTACATTTTCTTCTGATTTGTCTTCTGTTACTTTAGCTAATAGGTCTACTGCATGTATTATTGGATGTGGTATCACTAATCTCGCCAAATCTATGTCTCTCTCCTTTGTTTTATGCCTTCCTCACTTTCCTTTTAACCTATTATCTATTAGTCAAATTACCAATACATTCAACTGTCGTGTTTATTTTTTTCCTACTCATTGAATATTTCAAGATCTTGGGACGAGGCAGATTATTGGTAGGGTTCCTGTATCAAGTGGCCTGCATATGCTTGATGATGTCTCCACTCCAGTTCCTCAACCTGTTGCATGTACTAGTGATTCATCTCTATCCATATTACATGGTCGTTTTGGTCCTCCCCCTTCCCCATTTTGAAAAAATCGTGTCCTAGTGTAGGGTCAACATCACACTTTGAGTGTGAGGCATGTCAGTTTGGGAAACACCATCGAGTGTCCTATAGTCCTAGGATAAACAAAAGAGTTGCAGCTCTTTTTGATGTTATACACTGATGTTTGGGGTCTTTGCCCTGTATTGTCTAAATCTGGTTATCGATATTTTATTACTTTTGTGAATGATTTTTCACGTGTTACTTGGTTGTATTTTATGAAAAATTGTTCTGAATTATTTTCCATATTTTATACCTTTTGTGCTGAAATACAAAATCAATTTACTTCCTCTATTAAAATTTTCAGAAGTGATAATGCCAAAGAATACTTTTCTGCATCTTTCTCCTCTTTTTTGTCTACTAAAGGTATTATTCATCAATCATCATGTATATATACACCTTGTAAAAATGTACTAAGGAAGAATATTCACACTTCTCATTCATAGATTAAAAGTATACAAATTTATATACACTTGTAGTGTTTTAAACTAGGTAGGTGATCAATTTCTATTAGGATACAAGATCAGTGTGACCCCTATAATCCTGGATATTAATGTGATCCCTATAATCCAGGATATCAATGTAATCCAGGAAGTTATATACATCTGTAACACACCTCAATAAAATGGGGTTATTGAACGAAAAAATCATTATTCATTAGAAGTCGCTCGTACTCTCCTCTTTCACATGAAAGTCTCTACAAAGTTTTGGGCAGATGCCGTTTCTACTGCATGTCACTTGATCAATCACATGCCTTCCTCTATTCTGGGTGGTCAAATCCCATACTCCATTCTTTTTCCTTCTCAGCCTTTATTCTCGCTTCCTCCTAGAGTATTTGGGTGCATGTGCTTGTTCAAGATGTTAGACCTCATATCTCCAAATTAGAACCGAGATCCCTTAAGTGCAAATTCTTGGGTTATACCTGATATCAGAAAGGTTATCGTTGCTTTTTTCCTATCCTAGGTAAGTATCTTGTCTTAGTTGATGTTTCCTTTTTTGAAACCACTCCATATGTTGAGTCTTCCATTCTATCTTATCCTCACATTACTTCTCTTAAAGCCCCCACCGATGATTTTCATGTTTACAACATTACCTAACATAGTTCTCCACCATCTCGTCCTCCTATCACTCAGGTATACTTTCGCCTAGTTCACCAGCAACATGAGACACCCGCATCGGCATTTGATCCACTGCCTCTATCGGTTGCCTCGCCCTCAGATTCAATCCCTTCTACTTTTGACCTAGATCCTCCCATTGCTCTTTGTAAAGGTAAGCGTTCTTGTACCTATCCTATCTCCTCATTTGTTTCTTATCACTCTTCATCTTTATCTTCCAAGTCTTTTGTTGCCACTTTAGATTTTGTCTGTTCCTAACTTTGTATCTGAAGCGGTTACTCATGATAGGTGGCGAAGGGCCATGGAAGAAGAGATGTTGGCTCTAGAACTTAATGATACATGGGTTCTAATGGATTTACCCGACAACAAAAAGGCCATTGGGTGCGAATGGGTTTTCACAGTGAAAGCTAATCCTGATGGGTTTGTGGTTCGGTTGAAAGCTCGATTGGTTTCTAAGGATTATGCTCAGACGTATGATATTAATTAATCCGAGACATTCTCTCTAGTTGCTAAAATGACCTCTGTCCGGTATTCATCTCTCTTGCAGCTTCATATAGTTGGCCCTTTCACCAACTTGATGTAAAAAATGTCTTTTTACATGGTGATCTTCTTGAAGAGGTTTACATGGAGCAACCTCTAGGGTTTGTTGCTCAGAGGGAGTCAGGAAAGGTATGCAAACTGAGGAAATATTTATATGGCTTAAAACAATCTCCACGGGCTTGGTTTGAGAGGTTTAGCGAAGTGGTGACTTAGTTTGGTTTACATAGGAGTGTTTATGATAATTTTGTCTTTTGTAAGCAATTTAGTTTTGGCACCATTGTTTTGGTTCTTTATGTTGATGACATTGTAATCATTGGCAGTGATAATGTTGGCATTCAGAGTTTGAAAAACTTTTTGGCTTCCAAATTTCGCACAAAAGATTTAGGCACTCTAAAGTATTTTCTAGGAGTCAAGGTTTCTCAGAGTAAGAAAGGGATTTTCCTTCTCTCAACGCAAGTATGTGTTAGATTTGTTGACCGAAATAGGCCTAATTGAGGCTAAGCCTTGTGACATTCCTATGGTTTCTAATCTGAGATTGAATAATGAGGATGGAGAGATGTTTGGTGATCCAGAGCAATCCAGACAGATAGTTGGAAAGTTGAACTATCTTACAGTAACCCGTCCAGATATTGCTTTTCCAGTGAGTGTGGTGAGTCAATTTATGTCATCTCCTAGGACATCTCATTGGGATGCAGGCCTTCATATCTTGAAGTATCTAAAAGGAGCCCTTGGACATGGGATTTTTTACAGTGATCATGGTAATAATAAAGTAGAAAGATTTTTATATGCAGAATGGGTAGGATCTTCTGTGGATAGACGGTTTATGACTGGATTTTGTGTTTTTGTTGGAGGAAATCTTATTTCTTGGAAAAGTAAGAAACAACTGATTGTAGCTAGATCAAGTGTAGAGTCTGAGTATCAAGCTATGACACAAGTAACTTGTGAGCTTATATGGATAAGACATCCTCTTAAAGAAATTGGGCTTGGTGATCCAGGGACTATGGACTTGTGGTATGACAACCAAGCAGCCATACATATAGCAAACAATCTAATTTTTCACGAACGGACTAAGCATATAGAAGTGGATTGTCACTTTGTGCTAGAGAAACTTGAACAAAAGCTAATTACTACTAATTATGTTAGAACAGGGGAACAATTAGCTGACATTTTTACTAAGTCTCTAGTCGATAAAAGGGTAACTTATACTTGTAACAAGCTGGGTATGATAGATATATATGCTCCAGCTTGAGAGAGAGTGTTGGAAACTATGTATATATGTAGTCAAGGTTATATACGTAATTGTAGTGTATGTATATATATATTAGGTTGTACAGTTGAGATAATATAGAAAATGTAATGGAAAAAGTGCAAATATTTGAAACATGAATGATTCTAACCTTGGTAAAATCATACATTGCAACTGGTAAGAGTAATTTAACATCAAGATTACTTAGAAAATAACAGATTCAACATAAGTTTCAACAAAAGAACATGTTTCAACAAAAGAACATGTTGTAAGTTAGATACGTGGAAGGTGAGCAATTCAAGGAAACTAGTCATTAGGTATGATCCACCAGTAATGAGTGATTTGAAAATCATATTAAAGTAGGGTGAGAATGATCAAGTGTTTAAAGGATAGGTTACCTCTGATAATGGACTCAAGCTCTTCAATAGTTGCAATGATCCGCTCATCTGGATTAGTGTTTGCTATGGAACTGTTGTGGACAAAAACAACTGGAGGCCATATAATGAGATCCTGCTTCAGAGCTAAGGCTTCAGCATAAGGCAATACCCGTGGAACCCATAGACCGTTAGGGGTTGCTGCATTATTCCATCCCATCAACACACAAAGGGCTCTGTGAAAGCCCAAGTGCTCTGCTCTGAGCCCAGCTGTCTTAGACATGAAGGCATGCTGTGCCAAGCTCAATGCGTCCACAAAATCTTTCGACTTTCTGATAGAACATAAAGTCAGCTCAACGCAATTATTGAAGAAGTACACCTAAACCGCAATCAGCAACTATAGACAAACACAGAGGCATTATCTTGCATATGAACTGCCACTAACCTACTATGGGTATAGAGACATTATCTTACATTACAATCTCCCTATAAATAAAGGTCTTTCTAATCAGGGATTAAACTTTATAAGATCTTAAATTATCTTAACGCTGGTTCTGGTTAAGACCACTAAAAACAAAATGTTTTATTATTTCTATGTACTTTATTTACAAAAAGACTGGGAACACATTTTTTGAAGTATTGATAGGATCAATTTTTTATCCTTTACTGATCAAAATGTGAGCCACTTGGAACGCCCAAAATTCATACAACTCTTGTTATCCTATTATTGCTAAAACAATAATATTGAAATGACAGCCCGATCTTCCTAGTTCAGTAAGTCATCTGTGTAGCACATGCAATAAAAATAAATACTACCAAGTTAATCTGATGAGACATAAATAAGTATCACCAATAATTTTTTCTACTAGCATATAATATTTTAAAATAGTATCCATATTCTTTTTGGTATTATATATATGCTAACAGACTAACCGCAACTCATACAACTCTTACTATATTATTGCTAAAACCATGACATTGTAACTACAGTCTGATCCTCCTAGCATACTAGTCAATTGTGTTGCTGATGTAATTTACCGTGAAACCCAACTCAGATAACATAGTGAATGTAAAATGATTAAAGATTGAGTGTTTTGCATTTACTTCTAAAATTATGCAAAAGACACTCCCTCTGCACTTCTCTCACTATCTACCCTCAGCACTACAACATACTGCCAACCACTAATGATAAGACCTTTACAATTATAGCACCATAGTGTTAGAACCTTAAAAAGAACCCAAATCTTCTAGACACTCTGTCACAGTAATTGATCCTTTGAAAATGACTCAGAGGCAGGTCCTCATAAGCCTTGCCAATCAAATTTGGCCATATACGAAGAATCAAATCCTGTGATTCATTTGCATTTTAAACCTTTAATGATAACCTTATGACAACATTGTTTAGCTATCCTCCCACTGCATGAAATATGTGCACTTAACCTTCCATGGGGCTAACACTGAAAAACGACTAAGCATATTGATTAAGAGAAGCATAACACATGCCTTAACCAAATGGTTTTCTACTAAAAACATATTGCTATTACGCTATTACAGGATCTCATAATTGCATAAGAAAGTGTTAAATTGAGTTGAAGAAGGAAAAGGGAAGGAGGCGTGTCTCTTTAAAACATATATATGAATTACTGACCTGCAACAGACACTGCACTTTAAAGTACATTTTCCTCCCCGCTCTGTGTATTTCCTCTGTTGAGCTGTGCTGTCATTCAATGCTTTGGCAAACTTCAAAAAAGCGCTATGTACAAGTTGCTCGAAACATTCAGTGTGTTCTAGTGGTTCAGCATCTGAACTTTCCATTTGAACTTTCAAGTAATCATCCCCTTGGATATGAACACCTTCGCGAAAATCATCCAAATATCTTCCAGTAAACTCGTTTTGTTTATGACTTTTAACGGGTCTGCTTGAACGCTTCAATCGTTTCTTTATATTTGGAGCGGGACCTAAACGCTCCATTACATTTCGAGCAGGCCCCAAAGGCTTCTTTAAATCTACGCTAGAATGTTGAACATGTCCAGTTGAATGCTCTTGCATAGATACTGGCAAAAATGGAGACGGTAACAGGTTGTGACTTGTCATCTCATCAAGTGGCTGCCTGGATTCCAAATCTTTCAAGACTAAAAATCGTTCAGTATCTTCTGTAGTCCATTGTTCATTTTCATGAGAGGTAATGCAATCAAAAGACGATGTATGATTCGGACTTCGAGTAATCTTTCTCAAATCTATAACACGACCTCTCCTGAGCACCTTTTTCGATTGATCCTCATAGCCTAGTTCCTCTTCTCCCAACATCTGTTGTGACCTACTTATATTCTCATGTAAAAAGTCTTCATCCAATCTCTTCAAACCTTCTTCATATGATTCAAGACCACCATCTTTTAAGAAACCATAATCTTCTCCCACTTGCAGACCTCCATTATCCAAATTCACTTCTAATCCACACTCATTATCAAAGCCTCTAGAACCAGAAGCGGAGCCAGAGTAATCTACATCTTGTGATCCCCTGCTATAATGAAAAGTTCTAGAACCAGAGCATTCCCTATCTTCCTCCTTTGTAACTGATTCTTTTCCACCATTGAGATACTCATGATGTAAAGCCTGGTTATGCTCAATTTCCCTGCCATATCTTATACCATTTCTAATAGAATTGTTATTACCATCAAGTTTGTTCACAATTGAATCAACAATGCTAGCTCTCACACAAGTTTGCACCATCGAATCAACAAAACTAGCTCTCACAGAACTTTGCACCCTATAATCATCTTGAGCACTGGCCATATTTCCTTGCTCTTCAACAAAAGCAAAAGACCGCATTGAAGAGGGTTTTGAAACTGGCGTTTCACAACAATACCCTCCATGAGCAATTGATCCATCAAGCATTTCTCTGCTCCTACAAAATCCCCCATCCTTGTACATCTCATTATAATCACCTTTTAACTGAAAAGCTGTTGTTGTGTATGGAAGTAAACTATCTTTAGAGACAAAACCAAGTTTCTTTTCTTCTCTGTATAATCCTCTTTCAACATTTTCATTCACACTCAAATGATATTTTCTTGACGGGAAAACGGCGCCGTCATTGTAGTATGGTATTTTACTTTTGTTGAACCCCAAGACATTGTCATTTTCATTAAGGTTTCTACCGAAATCCGATTTTTCGGGTTTACAGGCCAAGAGATTGGCCCATTCAAACTTTCTGAAAATTACCTCGCTTCTAGGTAAAGTCTCATTGAACTGTGACAGTTTTCGCTCGTACCCATTTCTATCATTATCATCCTCATTTACATAACACTGTCTTGAAACGGAACTAACCGGTCGGTTAATACGTTGAATCCGGTTTTCTTCCGTTTCTCGGTCCCGATTTCTCGGCCAAGGCGGAAGGCGAGTTCTTGGCCTATGCTCTCTCATAGCAGGATTCGTGTACGAAAGTTTACGAGAGAAAGAAAAAACAAGAAATATGTGTTAAAGTAAGGACAGAATCTGAAAATCAAACTTGTCAAGTAAAGTGAAGAATCAGAATCAAGAGCAGAGTTCAATGGAGAAGTTATTCTTGTAGAGTTGTAGGGTTTTATAATTTTGAAGATGACGGTTCCTTTTTGTGTACGCTTTGTTTGGGTGGTCATTATGTAGCTTTAGTTTCAATGTGTTTGGACACGTGGCATAGTTCGATTGTTAAAAGTTTTGTGATACTTAAATCAGATGTTGACACGACATCAAAATCTCTGTACCCTTATACCAGATGCTTTCCCTTGTGGGTGTGTTTTTTAAGCATTAACATGCCAAACCAGGAAGAGTAATGTTACATCTACCATAGTTTTATATAATATTTCTGTATAGTATGTTAATCATCTTTGTTAATCATCTTTCATCCTATTATGTTGTATAAAAATTCTGTATATATAATATTATATAATAAGAAAATTTGTCGCTCTTTCTGAAAATGAGGTTTTCAAATTTCAAAAATAATTTTTAGAAAATACTAAAAGTGATGGGAAAAGGTTAAGAGTTTCCTTGATAGTAAAAGGTGAAGAGAAAGATTTATCATGGTCTTTCGAATTCGATTCTTTACAGTTATTAATAAAGGTGATTACTAAAACTCTTACTAGTTGGTAGTTTCATGTTTGAGTCCCTATGATTGCTAATAGGGGTAGCCACTATAGGTTTTACTCAGCCGATAATTCTAGTTCGAGTCCTTAAGACTGCTAATAGGGGTGATCATCAGAGTACTTACTCGGCCGATAGTTCTAGTTCGAATTCTCACGACTGCTAATAGGAGTGGTTACTAGAGCTCTTACTCGATAAGTAGTTCTAAGATTCTAGGAGACTAGTTGACGTACGCACAAGCTAGTTCGGACACCCTCAGCCATAAAAAAATAAAATATGTAGTATATATATAGTTTCATGAATTTACAAGACTATTCTTATGTCATTCTATTAACTGGATAACATTATGGAATATGTGTAATATTTGCCAATTTTTATGCTTTATGATTTTATAACAATTTATATATGTAAAGCCATTATTTTTATATTCAAGAATTTGGCAATTTTATCTTTGTTATTTGAAGTGTGATAAGTGATTGGTCATGATCAATGAAGGTATTATAGTGAAAAGAATTAAGTAATAATATATAATTATGAGTTTTCATTTGCTTAACAGTTAGTTAAATGTGATTGTTTCCCACTTCTATTCTAAATTTTTAGCATCAACTCTCAATCAACATTTTCAAAATTATATTTGTAATTATAACTTCTATTTAGAAAATATTAGACAAAAATTAAGAGAGTTATCAATTTCTATAAACATTCATAATTTTTATAAATTCCTCTACAAAGGAAGTCTGAAAAAGATTTATTGACCATATACGCAGGGGTGGGAAAATCCAGTTAATTGAACCGAAAAACCGGTTCAAACACAAATGCGAACGGGAATCGCAATGATTTTTTTATAAAAAAAAATCGATTTTGGTTAAGCGGTTTCTAAAATTGGTTGAACCAATAACCAAACCACAAAATCAGTTCAGTCACTTTTTCGAACCGAAATTGAACCAGTTTTTTTAATATCAATTTTTCAGTTCGGTTCAATTTTTGTGATGAATTTCAACTCTTAAAATGTCTCACTATTTAATAAATTGGAGATAGTGATCATGAAGCGAAAGTTTTTTTGTTGATTAATGCGTCGCTTATCAACTTATTTAATTCTATTGAACAAAAATGATTTTTTTTTAAGTCTTTAATTATGGGTTTAAGACTTTTTAATTATAGCCCCCCAACGTGACAAATTAAGTTATAAGATAGAGTTAGGTTGATAAAGTGATTTACGTCACATGAAGGATGTGCTCACGAGGGCTTTAATTACAACTGCAGATGCCCACAAAATGCACTCAAAAATATATTTGTGTAAAGCATAATGAAAACCTGATTCTTCTAGTTATCTCTAAAATGAAGGACGGAAAAGAGAAAGCAAAAAGAAGCAAAGGGGCCCCAAATCAAACGTTATTGTAGGCAGACTTGACCACATTCCACCTTGGAACAGCGCCGCATCAACACAAACAATATACATTAATTACTCTTTACATACTTTTAAAATGTTAAATTCACCCCCACATATGGACACTCTTGCTGGCTTGAACTGGCCAGATCTCACAACCAAAAAGCTACTATTCATTCAAATTTAGTTTATGATAACCTGCCAAAATATTGCATATATGCCAAGCCTTTTATTCAGTCACAAAGTCTTGGAATGCAGAGCAGAGATTTTAGGTTGAGTTCCTTGAATGTGGAATCTAAGTGGGGTTAGTAACATAACTATCATATGGTCCACTTACATTTTGAATTAAGAACAAAAGGGTCTGCAAGCATTAGCGTAAAAAGTTAGTTTATTGATTTACCCGTATGGTTTTATAATTAGAGAAGAGAGCACAACCAGACCATCCAACAAATAAATAATTACTACTTGAGTCATCTTCTAATCAAATTCTATTCTTTACGTTTTTGTTATTTTAAGCAATTTTTCTTCTGAAAAAATGAATGGAGAAACTCTTAAGAGATGGAAATGGGAAAGCAAAAGATTAAAAGTGAAGATTCTATGTTACAAATCCAAGCTGGAAGGGTAATAATAGTAAATAATTATTATGTAAAAAATTAAGGCATAATATAATACTTTGTCTTGCCCACTAAGGTTTTGATTCATGTGTTGTGTAGGTGAGGGCCTTACCATCCACTCCACAATCAAAACTTCTGGGCAAAGCACCCCTCTTGTCTTCTTGAAAAGGAAGATTTACCAATAGTGTTTCAGACTTTTCAACCATTAAATATCACCATAAAGCATACCATCAAATTATATATACATATACTTCTGAATTGTGGGATAAAAGATTTATCATGCATTAATCATCTACCTAGAGGAACTCGAAAACAAAACTAATTAGGTAGAGTGATACATCATGAGGATCTGTTTATAACTATATATATCCAGAGTAAAACATGTATAATTTTGTATAACAAGCAATACCCAAGTGAGAAAACTGTAGTAGTTAAATGAATTTGCCAATATACCAACTCAAGAAAGTAGCTATCTAACCAAATGAGGTCCATCTGGATATCCTTTTAACATAAAAATATTGAACTGTAAAGGAGAGATACAGGTAAGAATTTGTAATAACTTCTCTGTATTAGGAAAATTAAACTTAAATTTTAATACAAAAAAAGTATAATGAAGTGGGCTGTTAAAGTAAAGTTGGAAAGATGATTGAGGTCCTGGTGATAGTCTAATTCATTTAATAAAGGTGAAAATCGCCTCCTAACTTTCATGATTATAAACCGACAAGGTGCATTTTGGTCATTTCTGCTCTATCTAATATATTATGTTTAGCGGTGTGGCCGTGGAGTAAGGAATTTAGCTTCTGTTTCTTTAAAGCCAGTCTAGTTTATATTCACCTACCAGAAGAGAAAGAGAGCCATCATTCTAAAGAAAAAAGAGCTACCAAAAACAAAAGAAGAGAGATTGCACAAAAGGGCTCTGTCCATACAGCAATGGCTACACAGAAACAGAGTTTGGATCAGCAACAGTCTCAGATTCAACGGGTTAAGAACTCTGGACTTATCAGTCCTGGAAAGGATGACAAAGAGGAGGAGATGTCAAGATCCGCATTGGCTTTGTTTCGAGCTAAAGAAGAAGAGATTGAGAAGAAGAAGCTTGAAGTGAGAGACAAAGTTTGTGCTCAGCTAGGAAAAGCTGAAGAAGCAACTAGACGCTTAGCTGAGATTCGAGAAGTGAGAGACAAAGTTTTTGTAAAATTTTACATTAATTGCACACAAGATCATGATGATATACTAGTTTCTTGTTAATGAGATGTGATTTTTTTAATGAATTTTACAGGAGCTGGAAGCTTTGACTGATCCGATGAGGAAGGACGTGTCAGTTGTACGTAAGAGGATTGATACAGTAAACAAGGAGTTAAAGCCTCTGGGGCAAAGCTGCCAAAAGAAGGTACATTTTTACAGCCAATTTACTAATTAACAAATGATTTTATCTTGGAAATGAAGCGATCCCATTTTGTTTAATTGCATATGAGACAAATTTCACAGATTTTTATAAAAATTTAGAAGATGCGTGGTTGATTTAGGTTTCATCTAAATGTCTCTTAAAATCAGAAACTTTCACTAATTCATAAGCAATCTCGTGTGCCGTACAAATTTATTGTGATTATAGGAAAGGGAATACAGAGAAGCCCTTGAAGCTTTCAACGAGAAGAACAAGGAAAAGGCTCAACTTGTCAGCAAGCTGATGGAAGTAAGTAAAGTAAATACCAAATCTTTGTCTCTGGTTTTTTTAAGCATATATATACATATCGACAGTTTCTGATACATGTTGACATTCTTTTTCTTCCCAGTTGGTGAGTGAAAGTGAGAAACTAAGAATGAAGAAGCTTGAAGAGCTGAGCAGAAACGTTGAACTCCTGAAATAAACAGTGATAAATGCCAACTGGGTTGTGTGTTATGTAATTAGAATCATAATGATTTTCCATTAGTTTGTGATGATTTCTGTTTTGTGTATTAATTTTGTTTTTTGATTGCGGTTCCATGGTGGAGTCTCGCTGATTTAGGGAAAGAAACATCCAGCAGGTTTGACAGTACCAGAGACACATGTCGTTGTATTCATTAATGTGAGACATATCTTTTTTAGTCTTGAAAGTAAAGTTGCATTGCAAACCATTAATATTTTCTATTATTTGTATATCTTAAAATCGATGTGCCAACCTACTTGCTTTGTTGACTACATAAAGTTGGAAAAGCGATTCCAGCATTGTTTATGAAGTATGCTCCACATAACTGTTAACATTAATTATGTTACATTAGTTGCGCAGCTGTTTTATTCTGTTCTTCTCCTAATTATCAGTGAGGAAATGATTAGAGTATACAAAAGAAACTGAAAGTAAACAATATTTGTAGATTTCTTCTTCTTAGAGAAGAGACTACAATTGTTATTGATCAAGAAAGAAAGAAAAAAACAGATTCCAACTGAACGGATTAAGGATTAGGTCAGACCGCAGCGGGCTCTTCGACTCGGTGTATTTGATTTTCTCCCCAACTGTAGAACGATGTTTAGACTGAATCAGCATATTAATTTAAACACGAGAATGTTTTAATAACTCCTTTTCAACTTTCGAGCCTCCATTGTTAGTCGTTACAACCTGTATAGTACAATGCACTTGGATTTTTAGTTTTTTAATTTGTTAACCATTTCCTTAGTCAAACATAATTAAATATGATAAAAGAAACTAATAGCGGAAAATTAGATATAACGTATTGTGTTACAACATTTCTCAAACAGGGGACAAATTTGGCAAAAGATTTGTTATAAATTGGTGGCACGAGCCTTCTTCAACGCATCATAAATGTGGTCTCGCACAAGTAGCTAGTATTTCATATAATTAATCCTGCAAAGGACTACAACAAGAAGCTAAAAGAACAGTAAAAGAAGAAAGTACAACATGGTGAAATTGATCAACGTAGCGTTTCTATTGGCACTGTTTGTATCAACAGCAGGAGCTCAGACAATTTTTGACGTGTCGAAAGATGGCGCAAAAGCTAATGGACCAGATATCAACCCGGTAATGCTTCGAATGCGATCGAAAATACATATGCATAAGGATTTCGACTCCGTTTATTTCATTTCTTGAAATTAATTATCTTTTTCACATATAATGTTCCTTGTCTTAGGCTTTAACAAGTACATGGAAAAAAGCATGCGCATCACCTAGCCCAAGCAAAGTGTTGATTCCAAAAGGGACATTCTCGTTAAGTCCAGTGACCTTAGAAGGCCCTTGCAAGGCTGCTATTGAGGTTCAAGTTCAAGGCACCCTCAAGGCGCAGTCAGGCGTTGGCAAAACGACAGAGGATGGCGGTTGGGTTACTTTCCAGCACATTGAAGGCTTCACATTATCGGGTGGTGGGATTTTTGAAGGCCAAGGAGGCTCATCTTGGGGATCCTGTGGCAATGACTATTGCAAACAACTTCCCATTGTAAGTTTATTATCCAGTCGCATACATACGGCACGACTAATTAAAGAGTAATACTACACATACATCATTTTCATATAATATTTCTCATACAACATTATGTGGCAAGATATGATTGGCTAATTTAAAGTTAAAATTAAATTTTCACCCAATCATATCTTGCCACATAATGTTGTATGAGAAATGTTGTATGGGAATGATGTATGTGTAGTATTATTCCTAATTAAAATGTCTACTATTTGTATGGAACTAACGAAACTTGTTCTGTTTCTTTATATACATAGAATATGAGGTTCGACTTCATCACCAACGGGTTGGTCCAAGATGTAACTTCCTTAAACAGCAAACAATTTCATGTTAACCTCCTAGGTTGCAAGAACTTTAGCTTCCGTCGCTTTACGTCACCGCGCCTGCTGACAGCAAAAACACCGATGGAATCCACATCGGAAGATCCAGTGGAATTGAAATTACAGATTCAAAAATTGGAACAGGTGATGATTGTATCTCCATCGGGGGTGGCAGCCAAAATATATCAATTACAAAAGTTGCATGCGGACCTGGTCATGGCATCAGCGTCGGAAGTCTAGGACAGTACGGCAATGAATAGCCTGTGGTTGGAATCACTGTCAAGGGTTGTACTCTCACTAATACCGACAACGGTGTGAGAATCAAAACTTGGCCAGCTTCCTATGCAGGCACCGCATCTAACATGCATTTCGAGGACATTACTTTGGTTAACGTCAGTAATCCTATCATCATAGATCAAGCCTACTGCCCACATGATGACTACAACGCAAAGGTATAATGGTTTAATTTTTCTTTTCTTTTGTCTTTATGAGAGCTCATGATATTGACTATCATATCCGCAATGTTTTATTTTCCCCGCCTTAGCTTTCATCGAAATTAAAGATCAGCAACGTTAGCTTCAAGAACATTCGAGGCACTTCCGCAACTCCAGTCGCTGTAAAGCTTGCTTGTAGTAGTGGTGTACCGTGCGAGGGTGTGGAGCTTGATATCATTGACCTTAAATACATTGGAAAGGAAGGGCCTATTACATCAGAATGTATCAATGTTAAACCTATGATGACCGGCGTACAAGGCGCACTAGCATGTGGCGGCACAACTGGCGCCGCCCCCGCACGCAAAGCTTAATTTAATTTCAAATGTGTGTGCAGACCATATATATCCGTTCACGAGCATTTTCGTGTCGACACGTGCACGATTCGATCAGTTATGAATGTAAACTCTTTCATTCATGGAATTAGTTCAAAGTTACCGTTGTACTCATCGGTTTAAACGAATGTTGTGCGAGTTTCTCGACGCAATTAAATTAAACTCAAACTGAACTTCGTATGCATGAAGCTAAACCTGTCCAAACTCCGTTTTCGTTTAATCCGAGCTCGAGTAAAGATAGGATCCTAGTTATATATGCGCAACAGCGGACATAAAATTTGATTGAGGCAGGCAAAGACCAAGCACTTTGCTTTAACTTGAAAGCTTTGCCAGTCCTAGGAAAATCAAATAAAAAAACTTTGGCCAGAGAAAGAAACTCTCCAAAGTTGCAAAAGCAAATTTTCTAAGATTGCAGGATTGGATATTGCCTATCTCCATCCTATGGTGACTCTGCCGTTTCTTATGCCCTGGATCGACGATAGTCAAGAAATGTATAGGTCTTGTGAAAGAAGCGAAACTCCATTCGGAGTTAATAGAGGGTGAAATCAATGCATACATTTCAACAAAGTCTAACGTTACAGTCTTAACAATAATATTCCACATGCACGACCACCGGTCGGTTCATTTGGCTACGTAATGAATATGTATAGAATATAGACCACTTAGTCGCATTAAATTACGTACATTAATTATAGTAACTTAATTGCAATAAGCTAATACTTAGGTCAAGCCGCAGCGGGCTCTTCGACTCGGTGTATTTGTTTTTTTACCTCAACCGTGGAACGATGTTTAGACTGAATCAGCATATTAATTTAAACGCGGGAGTGTTTTATTAACTCCTTTTCAGCTTTCGGGCCTCCATTGGTTAGTCGTTACAACCTGTATAGTACAATGCACTTGGATTTTTTAAATACGCCAATTTGTTTTTTAATTTCTTAACCATCTATATATATATAAAGTTGAATACCTATGCGAGTTGTTCGTTAGGTGATACGTTTTGGAACTCATAGAATTGTTTCATTTTGACACATAGGATTTGTGGTTGTTATTTGATTGAATTTTATTGGTGATGTTGTAGAAGATATTAATTGTTGAATTGGTATTTCAAATCCAAAGGTAAAAGCATTCCTAAAATTGGTTTATTTTGGAGGTCTAGGATTGCTCTCTCATGCCATGTTGGATGTGTGGTTTGATGAGATATTCTTATCTCTAAGATTCATGAATACCCATGTTTGTTGTTCTCCATGAATACCCATGCAGCTTGTTCGCCATGTGGCACATTTTGGAAGATCTAGAATTGCTCAATTTTGACACATTAGACAGTCAAATTGCTCTATCTTGACACGCTGGGTTGATATTTATTATGTCATCTATAATTAATAATTAATAATAATAATAATAATAATAATAATAATAATAATAATACAGGTGCATTACATTGGCATTCCAAAGATGTGAATTAATAACAAGTATACAGGTGTATTAGATTACTATTACTTACTGCATTGTATTGATATTGGAAAACTGTCTTCGTATTGAATTTGTATTTAATTGCGTTGGTATTCGGAAGGTCTAAATAAGGGGTTATAAAATGGGCGCATGTTCAGTTGTGGATCATCGCAATTTGTTAATTTGTGTCAACAATAAGTCTAATATTTTATTTATTGTTTATAAGTTATGTTAGTTTGTGTCAATAATACGTCCGTTCTTTATTTTTTTTTTATTATTTATGTTTTTTTTGTTGTTTACAGGTCAAAGATCATGAATCGGCACAGAATAAAGGCACGATGTACAATTGACACTGTCAGATGAGTTGTTATTTTGATTTGTGCTTCTATACTGTAAGTATATCTTTTAAATATTTTAATGTGAAACTGTAAGTATGTCTCCTATCTATTTTAACGGTTATTGTTAGATTGAATGATTGTTTTTGTTCGGTCAATTTATTTGATTGATTAATTGTATTCCTTCCGAACGGTCAATCTGTTCCTTGCTAATTTTAATATGAAGATTAATTAACTTTTGTTGTTGCCGTTTCTAGGTACCAGTTTTTATACGAATGGATAATTGTTCGTTAATGATGTTGACATGAAGATCGATTACGTTTTATTGTATTTGTTTCAAGGGGATGAGGATATGCGTTTGTTATTTTGTTTGTTGAGTCATTTTTACGTTGAGTCCATTTTGCCGATCAACCGGCATGAGATGTTAATTTGTTGATTCTGTTGATTTCGTTTTCAGGTTACAAGGAAAAAAGTTGACATGTTCATAAAATGGTCAGCGTGTTATGTATCAAGTTCTATTTAGTAAGTGTTTGGTGAGGTTATTGACTTGGTATGTTTGTGGTTGCAGTTGAACTGTGTGAAGTACATGAAAAAACATGAATCGATCGGCTTACAGTTTCGGCCAAATAGTGAGTATTTGTTGTCGGTATATTCATACTATGGGCAATTAGTTTTTCCCTGTATCGTTGACATTGAGTAACATTAAATGTTGCTAGTTTGTATTTTGTTTAAATATTTTTTTACTTTTTTT